ATGGCACCCCAACCCCAAACCCAACCCCAAACCCAACCCCAACCCCAAACCCAAACCGAACCCCTGACCCTACCCCAAACCCAAACCCAAACCCAAACCCCAAACCCAAACCCAACCCCAACCCCAAACCCCAACCCCGAAGCAGAAAGCTAAACAATATTATTAGCAGGCGCTTTAGCTAGGATACAATGATAATTCTGAAGATGAAATGCTCTTAACAAAAATAGAATTTGAAAAAAAAGCAAATATTTATTCTTAAATGAAATTTTACATTTATTGATTTAGATTATCAAGTAGAATAGAGTAAATTAATGAGGAAACTGTATATATATATTAATAAAATAATATTTTTATTTTCAGAAATAGAAACTGGTATTGAAAATAGTTATGCTTAAAAGCCAAATGTCTTAATCGAATTAATTGAGAGGATTATAGAGTCAGATTATACGAACCGCAATAATAATTATTTTTTTGGTCCGCTTGTTATTTCTATAATTCATCTTTTATTTAAATTAAGACCATTTTTAATTATTATACTGCTTATTGAGGACTTTTATCTGATCATTAGTATTTGCCTAACTTCAATTTTTATGTTCCAATTCTCAAATATTTATTGAATATGAAAAAGAAAAATTTATTGTCTAAAATCAGAAATTAATTTATGAAAGATTTAATTATATGCTTAAAAATTTACCCTAAAAAAAAATAAATTGCTGTAAATAGGAGGATTTCTTCAATAATAACTAGAGTCAATCTCAAAACTAAAAATATATAAATGATAATTATAATAATCTGCGCAAAATGATTAGTTTCAAAACCTATTTAAAATCAAGTTAGAATTCTATAATTATAAAGTATTTTATTTTCAGAGTATTGCATAAAAGACTCAAGAAGCACAGTTAAAAAGATTTTGCAGCATTGATTATACAAAAATCAATTCTTACTTACATGTTAAATCTATGAAATTCTTATTAATTTTTTACGAATCAATCAAGGAAGACTAATCTAGAATGCTGTAAAATATCTGTAAAGCAATAAAAATGAAGATTTAGTACTTCTTAGGCAACAATTAAAGCACTAATTGACTCTTTCTAAATTAAATTTTGTTATGTATATTATTTATAAATTTAAACATTGTAGTTTTCTTAGCCAATTTTTTGAGGTTTATATGAGTTAATTAAGATTAGGGAATTATTATTGTAAATTATTATTTTCAATATAATTTTAATTTCAATTAGCTTACCTAAAGTTCAAATAAATAAATTGATACTAGTATGATTTTGAACATAAAAGAACAAAAAAAAAATAATTAAAAGTAATTTTAAATTTAGTGAATGAGAATTAAACTAAAACATTTGAATATAGAATTGATATTTATTAGAATTCCTATTTAGCAAAAACTAGAAAGCTCTTAATTTCAAACATCCTATCAATAATGATAATTTTATATTTCGAAAAACTTTTAAAGTAAGAGTAATATCTTTCAAATGTATCTCATCACCTCCAAAAAGAATTTTAAATTTCAGAAATATTCCCATTATATCAATCTTTTTCCATTTTAATATTTTGATTGTTGATTAACTAAAATAAGCTTTATAGAGATAGTTATTATGAGAAGGAGCTAAAAGGTGAATTAAAAATTTAAGCAATAAATATTAAAGGGGATATCCTATTATAAATTGGATCTCACGATATATAAATAACTTGTGGCTACTTTATTAAAAACAATATTTAGTTGAATATTAATTTCTAATGCTCAAAAAACAGAACATTGACTATCATAGCACAAATTTATTAGTAAAACTTTTGTATTTATTCACATTCTTATTATTTCAAGATTTACAAAACATGCTTATCCGATATCTTATCAATTCATGCCCAGAGTTAAAGAAGCTAGAATATGAGCATAGAGAAAATAGTTTAAAAGTAAAATTAAAGTGGCAATTGTTGTTGCGAATAAAATAATTGAAACAAGTTTTAATTATAATTCGTTAAATTAATAATCATAATAAATAAATAATTAAATAAATTTTAATGAAGAACCAGATCATTTCTCTTTTTCCTTCTCCCCCTTTGTCGATCTGGATTTAGACTACTGAAGGTAGGTTATTTTGCCCTTCGATTATGGGCTATTTATCCTAACGAAATTTTAGAATATCTCATATTGATTCAGACAGGGTCTAGATTGGAGTTTCATTGTGACTTATATTGGTTATATAAGATGGTCTGACTTCTGAGATGAGAATAAGTCCCTTGTAAATTATGGGAAGATACTTCAGGAACTAATAATTGTGTATTGGTACATGTGAATTTTATATGATTTGATGTTCTTTAATTCCTTTCGAAATAGTCTCTAAGACTCAATGTAGATTCACTTTATATTTATAGCTGCCTTGGCTGTATTTCTTGTGTCCTGTAGAAAGTAATAATATATAGATAATGACAACTGAAATTAATATAATAACTAGATAATAACTATAAATTTAAATCGAAAATTTTTTCAAATATTATGGACTTTTAGAAGCACTTTGTTTAATTTGCATACGAGATTAATTGAATGCATACAAATATGAAAAAATACAATGATTAGGGAAAATTTGTTTCAGGTTAGAGCCATTACAATTTTTAATGGTTTTAAATCTAGGAACCCTGATTTATTGGATAAATATGATTTAAAGGTTAAAAACTCTTTAAAATTGAAGGTTAAAATCAATAATCTAAATTTAATCAATAAGATGAAATAATTTGGAATAATGGCATACATTTTTGAACAATAGATTTGAAATATAGAAATGGAAATTTTTAATATTTCAAGTTTTGCCTAAAATAATTTGAATATAAATTTAGAGTATATATCATTAAATTGATTCATAACTAAAATCTATAAAAAATATGAAACTGCAGGAATTTGCTGCAATTTTAATCAATTAATAATCTTGAATTTATTAAAATAGATATAATTTATTAAATTTGATAGAATATGATATAAAAATCACATTATTGCATAGTAGTGAAAGAGTTCATCTAGTTTTTAGTGTTAGACAAAAAAGTAGACAAGTTAATTCAACGGATTAATTATTTAATTTCTCATTTAAAAGGTGATATGCTTGAAAATAATGATCCTTAAGAATAGCATAATTGGATCCAAAATGACATAAAATTAAAAGAGTGAGCCTATTAAAAAAAGAGAAATTTCGAAATTGATAATTTTAAGGTCTTATTCACTAAAAATATAAATTGATTTTTACCATTGCTTCAATTATAGAATGAATTCAAGATAGCATAAGAAATGTATAAGGAGATATATGATGATAATCAAAATACTCAATTTTCCCCCAAATCTGTAAATCGACTAAAGTATTTTTAGAATCATTCTAAATATTAAAAATGTTCCACAATTTATGATGAAAATTGCAAATAATGTAGTTTCATCAAGCAAAGTTATTTCCAAAAATGAAATTGGGATTAACATGCCTATTTTGACTGATAATTATAAAAAATGATAACTTTTTTTAAGAATTGAATTTTAAGTATAAAAGCAAGATAATATTTCATGGATAAACTAGATATTAATAATAGTAATTACTTTGAAGGATATTTTGAATACTGCAACAGTTCCTGGATAAAAATGGAATATCTTAGGTTTTCCTTATATATGGGTTTCATCCATACTAAACTCCGAATCTATTCTAGAATTTAATGGAGTATGTTTTTATTTTATCTCAATTGAGACTAATTCAAAATAAATGAAGTAAGAAAAAGCAATAAAAATTCCATGAAATAGTAAAATTGGCTATTCGTTTAACATAAGATTATTATCCTTAATTACCTTTTCATTTTGAGTATAAATGGAGATATTTTATTATTTAACTGAATTATTGGGATATTAAATTAAAATTATACTACCTAATTATTCGCATTTACAAGATATTTATACAGTTTTATTATCAATTTCTTCATTTGATAATTCACATTTATAGAATTTTCCATCTTTATCGATATTAACGCAACCATATGAATAGAGTTTATCTTAAGGAACCAGTTCTTAGCAATATGAAATTTTAAGCATATCTATTATGTATTATTTAAGTGAAGATTGATAATCAATATAGCGACCATTATAAAGATGATTCTATAAATTAGTTTTCTTCAGTGCTTTCTCATTTATTTCGAGATTAGTTAAATTAAAGAATACTTGCAATTGGGCTTATAATTGTTGAGATAGATTTAAATAGTTGTAATTTAATTCTATTTGTTCCTTTTGAACAAAATCAATCAATCCATCTAATAAATCTCTTTCAATATTAAATTGTTTATTTAACATTTCTTTAGTAATTTTGGATAATTACCATTTTAAAATTTGTCCATTATTAATTAATTGAGGTCCATTTACCTTTACTTGTACGTTAACATAAATTGCAATCTTTTCAATAAGGCTTATTAAACCCTCTGCAGTATTAATAATCGATTCTTTATCTGAATTAGAATTGATAGTGGCTTCTGGAATCTTAAGGAATATATCATCAATTAAAAGTTAGATAACTGATAAAGAGTCTATAATGGCTACTCTTTTTTAATAGATTTTTTCATCCAAGAATACCTCATTTTAGAGAATTTAATCATTATAATCAGCAGATTTTTTTATCATTTTCTGAGCAACAGACATAATTTATTTTAATTCTGCTTGCAAACTAGACGGAGTAACAGTTAATGAAGTATTAACATTTGCAAATTTGACATAAAAAGCTTATGTGGAATTTTCAAAACAACTCCCTGAATTTTCATTTAATAATCTCATCGAAGAGTTAGAATCTTTATGATCTTGAATTATTCTTTTATACAATTTAGTAGTTTGATACACTAATAATTGATCATCAATATTATCAGCTCCCAAATAGGTTTATATATTTGAATATAACAAATTAGATAAAGTAATACAATTTTATTAGTCATAATGGTTCAATATAATTTCTAATAATAATGAAATTTTGTATTTTAAATTATATTACTTAATATTATTCTCGGAACAATTGAGCAAAGTCTTTGTAATATTTAACTATTTCTCAATATTTAAGTAAGATCCTTTAGAATCCATTGCTTATATTAGAAGAATGCCATCAATAAACGGAAAAGTGGCTTCTATAGTATATGAACTTGAATAACTGCTCAAAATTAATGAATAATCATTTGTTCTATTCTAAAAATCAATCAAGTCTTATTTGTGAAGAAAATATCTCAATTAGTATGTAAATGGAGCTGATTCAGAAAAATCGCAAATGGTAATTACCTTTTAAAGTTTCAATGCTTCAACAGTTTATTCACTTAAGCTCACTAAACAATTAGGAGGTTAATTAACATTTATTTATAAATCTTCTTGGCTAGGTATAATTTCATTTGTAAACTAAGCTAAAAATTTTAGATTTATTTTATCTCCTTTTGTAAATTCCTAAAAGTAATCAAAAATACGAATTTATTATTAAAAGTATTCCGATTATAGTATCTATACAAGTTAGAAGTTATAAATAATAGCTACTTGATACTCTAGAAGGTATTACCTATCTTCAAAAGGAATATTAATGATGAACTCCAGATTTTCATAGTTATTGATTCCCCTCATTAAATATCCTTTACTATAAGTAACATTTAATAATTTAAAATCATTATCTAAATAGACGATATTTTATTTAAATTTATATGAGTGTTATTTTTTTGTAGCCACTACAGACCAACTTTAAATCGTGTAAGGTTTAATAGTTTATTTTGGAATGACTTGGATACTATCAGTTTTGTTGATTTGGATTATTTTTTTATTTAAATCCAAGCAAAGGGAATTCATAGTCAAGTCAGCACACTCAACATTTAATGAAATACCAGTATCCTCATTCCATCCATATTAAGTGTCTAAATCTTTACATGATATGAATATGTAAGTTTCTTTTCTATAATTCTGAATCTTTTTAGTGCCATTGAATTAACAAAGTATACCTCCTGAGCTAATGTCAATTGTTATGTTTCTTTTGATTGAAAAGTTCATTAAAGCATCAAATGTTGTTTATTCAAAAGTATATGAAATTCTAGAAGTCAAGGTATAATTTTAAATAATCACATTAAAACTACTTTGACGTGTGATTTCTGAATAATTTACCCTTGATGGTCTTGAATTGGACTCATTTCTATAAACTTCAACTAAGGACACAGAATATTCAGAATTATCAACTTAAGTTGTTGCTGCCTATTCAGAACAATCCTTCTTTTTAATTAAAAATTCCAAAACAATGGTTTCAAAATTAAAATAAATAGACTTTGAAATCCAAAGAATGGTGGGAAATTGACCAGAATGGGTTTCCAGTTTAATTTTTTGTATACTTTTTTAGCCAACAAAATTTTAAAAGTCTAAATAGAAAGTAATTTTGGACTGTTTTGGTAGTGTTTACAATGGGATAACTAATTCTAAAATCTATAATTTAGTTAATAAAGCAACAAAGTTATCAAGATCACCATTACCGTTAGATCCATCTACAGAATAAGTCCATTTTATTTCAATAAAACCTCTAAGTCCATCGTTCAATTTTGATCTCAAGGATATTGTATTATCATCGCAAGGATTTATAAGATAAGTGGGTAAATCATATATTATAATTGGTGAGACAGGGCTTATCGGACTTTTAACATAATTGAAGATAAAAACACTTAACTTTTTATCGCATTCTTCATGACCGAAATAGCTATCATAAAATAGAATCTTATCTCCTGGAAGTATCTTGGGTGAATTTCCTACCCTCAAAATTAACTTAGTATCATCAGCAGGATCAATATAGCAACTAGGATTCTTACCAAGTGATTAATAAGTTTGTTTTTCTAATATTAATAAGCAAACATTATCTGAAAATTAAGTAGTAAAAAATTATGGATTCAAAGTAAAGTCAAACTTTACTTATATAGACAGCAAGTCATCAGAAAATCTAATATCAATTACGGCAACTTAACAAGCTTAAATATTTATAAACAATTTATTACTTGAACACCATGGGGTATCAGGATGACTCACAGAATTTGGTGGTTATTCACAAGTCATTTCTGAAGTTAAGACCCTATTGCCATTGCAAGTTAGACAACCATCTATATTACAAGTTTTGCATAACCCATCACAAACTTAACATGATTCATTCACATAATCATCGTAAAATCCATCAGGACATGAACAAGTAGGAATGTTAATCCGATCTCCTTTACAACTTAAACAATTTATTTGGGAATCCTTGCATGTTTTGCATGAAAACGAGCATTCTATAATTATTAATTATTAAAATACAAACACAAAGAGGCTATCCACCCTCATAATATCCATCTTAACATACACATTGTTTAGTGGATCTCCCTTCTTTACATGATAAACAATTAGTAGAATTCTTTTCACAAGTCTAGCATTAATTTTCACATGCTAGATTATTAATAATTGAATACGTTCACAACTCAAAGAAGAATTCTCAAAAAAACCAATTTTGCAATTACAAAGAGGAGGCCCTTCTCTAAGATTGCTAAAACAGGTTAAACAATTCGATGAAGAGTTTTAACATAATTTGCAACGTATGGCACATTTTTAGCAATCGATTTAAGTGCCGTCGTCATAGTACCCATCTTTACAAATACAATTTTAAGAGATGCTTTGTCTATTGGAATTGGTTGAGATGGAACAACTTATACAACTCTCTTGAGATAAACTACATGTTTAACATTTAAGATGGCATTCTTATCTAAAAACAATTGATACTTTAGCAAGTTTCATTTTCATCTGAATAGAAACCGGATGAACAAGGACATTTATTAATAACAGATTGATCAATTCTATTTTAATTAGTATCACAACTAGTACAAACATCTTTTCTTCCCTAACAAGTGAGACATTAATTGGAACAAGCTATAAAATAAACACAAATTTACTTTGGCAAATCACTTAGCCATTATCATAATATCCATTTTAGCAAATACATTAATTTACATTCAATACTCTGAAGTGTTGTTGTTAATTACATGAAGTACATTTGGTTGAAGTCTTCACGCAAGTCTAACAATAAGGACTGCATAATTAACACATCTCAATCCCAACATCATAATAACCATCTGAACAAATACATTAGTTAGAGTTATTTAAAAGTCTAAAATAAGTTGGTTCACATGATAAGCATTTTGTTGCTGAATTTATGCATGTCTTACAGCTCAAATCACATACTAAATATATTTTAAATTTGTACTTGAACATTTCTTTTAATTAACCTCGAAATATCCATCTTTGCATGGACACTTCAAATTATCTGAATCAAAATATCGAGTAATTGTTTCACACTATAAGCATTGGGTTAACGTCTTACACTCAGTACACGAAATATTACAAGCTAAATAGGTATAATTATACCTTCGCATTTTAAAGTAGTAGTATTAAAATAGAAACCAGTAGAACAAACACATCTATTCTAGTTATTGAGACTGAGATTGTACGAGGCATCGCAGGTTAGACAATAAGTAGGAGATACTTTACAAGTTAAACAAGACTTATCACAAGGTTTACAACTTAAAGTAACTGAATCTTCATAATATCCATCTTAGCAGATGCAAACATTTCCAGTTAAAAGGATTCTATTTTTATCTGCTGAACATGATGTGCAATAGTTCTATTGGTTTATACATGTAAAGCAACTTTGATCGCAAAATAAACACTATTTATCATTTCCACTCTCATATGTACCATCTATGCATTTACATTAATTCTTAGATAACAATCTCAAAATTTTGCAAGAAGTGCAATTAGTGATTGAATTTTGGCATGTTTAACAAGTAATATCACAAACTTAGCATAAGCCATTAATTTCAGTAGTTCCAGGCTTGCAGATGCAGGTTTGAGTTGTAGTATCTAGTATTCTCATTAATGATAAATCACATTCAATACAATATGTAGAACTGGTTGTGCAGTTAACACAATTTTGATTACATTTACTACATTTACCCAGATTATTTAAAAAATAACCTGAATAACATGGACAAGTATTTCCTTCTAAATATCTTGTTGCTTCGCAAGATGTACAATAATCAGCAGTGTTTTAACAAGTCAAACATGAACTCTAGCATTTATTGCAATTAGGAGAAAGTCCATCATCATAATATCCAGGTAAACACTAACATACTCCTTAATTAAAGACTCTAAATGAAGTTGACTTATCTACGCAAGATTGACAAAATTAATATCCAGATTAATTACAAGTAAAACAAGAATAATGACATTTTGCACAAGTTTCCACTCCAACATCATAATATGAATCCGAACAATTACAAGTAAACATCTATAAATTAAGTATTCTATTGGATGTCAATGAACATGTATCACATTTTGTAGAGATAGAGCTGCATTAAGAACAAGAATAGTGGCATTCTATTAAATATATTAATCTAAATTACTTTAGCATGTAGAATTAGATCCATCATCAAAATATCCTTTTTAACATAGGCATTACTAATTTGTAAGAGTTCTAAAAGAGTTTTGATAACAAGTTAAACATGTAGTCTCAAATCCTGCACAAGTTTCACAACTATAATTGCATTCTAATATTTATAACTAAAATTATACATTAACACATTGGTTTGCCCATATCAAAATAATGAGGTGAACAAGGACAAGTAGAATTTGATAAAACTCTCATTTCACTAGCCATGCATTTTGTACATTGATTTAATTTTGATCCATTGCATTCTAAGCAAGAATAATGACAACCTATGTTAAATTAATATGAAATAACTTTGACAGTCAACTTTGCCTTAAACTTAATAACTACTAATGGTAGCTCCAGTTGACTTAGTCTTGCAATTACAAACATTTCCTTATAGGTATCTATCTGGTTTACAAGATATGCAGTTATCAGCTGAGCTTACACAATTCAAACAATAGGCACTGCATGCTAAAGATAATGTTGTTCTTACCTATACATTCAGGCTTTCCAGGATCATAGTATTTACTCATGCATAAACAGGACCCTGAAGAATCCAATTATCTCATAATTTAAGTATAACAAGATGTGCACTAATTTGATTAAGCTCCATTACATGTTAAGCAAGTGCTATGGCAAACTAAATTGAATCTAAAATATACCTATGCAGATTGGATTGTTAGGCTAGTCATACGTTTTGGCTGGGCAAGAACAAGAATTATTTGTTCCTAAATCTCTATAAGAGTAGAGCGGACAAGATGTGCAATTGTCAATTGTACCACTGCAATTAGCACAACGATATGAGCAGCCTGTTATTTAGTATAATTATTTACTATAGCACATTGGGTCACCAACTTATTTTTCCAAATAGTTATTTTGACACGAGCATGTATTAGTCTTAAATTCTCTATTATTACTAGAAGCACATGTAAGACAATTATCTAGAGCAGGACCAAAGCAGGTCAAACATGTATAATGGCAAGCTTTAAATACTAAATATAATTACGGGAACATTGTAATAAACCAATATCATAATATCCATCAGGACATATGCATTTAAACATTGCTAATTGGCGATAAGTAGTGTTGCATGTTAAGCAATTATTATTCTAACTTCCATTACAAGTCTTGCAAGTGAAATGACACTCCAAACATTCTAATTCTGTTTTGTCACTGAAATAATGAGAATCTTTGCACAAGCATTTAAATGTGGTTCCTATTCTATCTGGTTACCTTGTAGCTGGACAACTTGTGCATTAATCTTCTCCAGACAAGTCACAATCAGAGCAGGTATAGTGACAAATATCTGTAAAAAAGGGAAATGAAATAAATTACATAAACAGTTTATATCGTTAGTGCCGGTATCATTATATGATTTGTTGCATAAGCACTGATTATCAGAAGTCAGATGACGTTTAGACGAGGATGAACAGGTAGTACAATTAGTGGCTAAAGGACCATTACAATTCTCACATGTGTAATGACATCCTAAAATTGAGAATATAATTACTAAAGCAAATCTCAGAAATACCATCTTCACCATAACCTGGTTTACAAACACAATTAAGTTGATCAGAGACAATTCTATTCTATCCTGCTATGCACATTGAGCAATATTAATTAGCTGAATTATCAAATGGCCATTAACACCTTTCACATCTTGGGTGACAGGCTAAAATAAGTAATTAAAACTAAATACGTAAACATATCGTAGTCCCATCAATCTAAGTTTATTCTACTGTTTTCCTTACGCAGATGCATTATCCATCTACTAATTATTTATTATATATATTTGGGTCTCCACAATCAATACAGTCGTCTATATTTTATCCTTCGCATAAGTAACATGATGGATAACACACTAATTTAAAATAACAGGAAATTACATTAACATATGCTATCGATAACCCCAGTATTATAACTTCCTTTAACACAACCTAATCATAAAGTTTAAAATATACCTTAACATTCAGATCCACTAGGTCCAGTACATTTAGCACAATTACTAGTGCAAGCTCCATAAAAAATAACAAAGTCTCTTAGACCAAATGACTCACCCTGAGGCTCATCTAATGTGGAAGTGAATGAAATTTGAACTTGACTGTTTGTATGACTTAAATCTAATTCATTTCTAACAAATATAGTTCTGTGTTATTCATTTAAGTTTCCGCAAATCTTCCAGTAGTAGCCTTCATACCATTAAAATCTTCTTTCCCAAAGTAAAACACCATCTACTCTCATCTAACCTGCTTCATTATCATAGGAATCTATCTTAGCCCATAAAAATTAGATCTTTAATTTGTGATGGGGTGGAATATTAAGAAAAGTTTTGCTTATGACTGCGCCAGCTGCGAGCAAATTATAGCCACCAAATAAAGTAACAGCTAATTCAAATTATTCTTAGTTACCTCCGCATGATGTTGCCTAGGGAATTCCATTAAGTACGTTCCAACCATCAGATAATATTTGATTTTAATTCAATTATGTCCAACTTGTCTAGAGGGTCTTCCAGATTGCGCATTACAAATCTGTGTCAGTTTATTAGCATGCTAAACATCCATCTGGGCATTTCTCAACTGATAAAATGAAATCTCTAAATCCCCAAGATTCCTTTATAAAATATTTAAATGCCATACATTGTCAGGTGTTTCGTCTAAATTAGTCGTTATCACTATTACAGCTGTATTACCGCTATGTTTAATTTTTAAGTTCAAATTCACAAATAAATCTTACCATCCACCACCACACATCTAAGTTCCATCATAGTAATTGTATTATTACTACCATGCCAACTAGTAATCAACAAAAATATTTGCAAATTCAGCGTCCCATGAATCGATTCTATAATATTTATGCATTTTACTTCCAATATTACAATTGCAAATTTACTTAAAAATGAGGTGGTAGTAAAAAAGTTTTAGTAACACTTATTTATCTCGCAAAGGCCTGATAACCTCCAAATAATCTTGTGCCCATGCAGTCTGTGAATACTGGTTAACCACCTCTGACCACCCAATCTATATTTAAATGATGTTATAATTACTGTCAGCATTAGAAAAACTATTTCCTTAAAATGAAGATGATATCACTTCTGAAACACCCAAAACTTGTATTATACTATTCAAATAAAGAATTGTTGCAAAGATGGGATAAAGCATTAATATAAATAATATGAAACTTGATTAAGGATATTTTTAAATACGTAACTTTTCAAAATAATAATCAAAAAATTTAATTCAACTACAAACAAAAACAATTATATAACTAACATCAATTGCAATATATTGATAATTGGTATCAAGATAAAATTAAGATTATAATTAATTTTCCCTAACCAAATAGAGTCTGAATTTTTTTTATTAACTGATATTTTCAATCCTAATTAATTGTGGATTAAATTATCAAACTTCACCAATCCTTTACCTAAATCATAAGATACAACCTGTTTTAAAAATAAATATTATCGCTATTTTCAGTGTAACTAGAGAAACTTATAAATTATATGTGAATAAATTAATTGTCTGATTAATTATTATATTTGATTCGGATTTCAATTTACTTCGAAATAAAAATTTATAAAATTTTTCAAGAGAATTCTCATATCCATTTGAATAGCGCACACATATTGAAATTCATAAATTTAAATTATACTTTAAATTTTTGATTTCATCCTGTTATCCTTAATATTGCAAACTTAACGTTAATAATATTCAAAAATAAAAATATTTAGTTTTAGGCTTATTAGACATTCACTTTGATGTGACTCTAAATTTGTTCATATTGAAAGGAACAATCCAATTTAATTGTACAAACTGAATCAGTATTTTTCTAGATGTTGAAATATAGAATTATGTGATAAAATTAACATAACACAATCTTCAAACTTGTCTTATAAAATCCAATTATTGATTAAAACTAATTCTCTTAATATTTATTCATTATCTCATTTATGATAAATGTTGTATATATATTTTTTCTTTTAAATTTTTAGTTTTTTCTCTTGCGGGCAAATAACAGTTGTAATATTATTCAATATTTTGGAACCTCCTAACAAAAGGTTAAAGATGTTATAAATTAACAGTGATAAAATGAAATAATATAATTTAATAGATCATTATATATATATTATAATATACCCTAAAACTCATTCCTAATTATATTTTTGTTTATTTTTTTATTCTTTTTATTTCATCTTTTCATTAGCTTCTCTATAAAATTTGATATCATCATCAGTAAATTCGTATTTCTATTCTTGAAGTAGTCTTTTATTTTCTGCTATTTTCTTTTCCTTTTCTTTTTCTAAATATAATTTGGCTTATTCTTCTTCATATTGTAGATTTTTTCTTCTAAACCAATAAAAAATGATAAAAACAACAAGAGTAAAGGCAATTTTCTCAATTTATATATAAGCAAGATAATCTTTTTCGAAAGGAGTAGTTTTGAATTCACCTGAATTAAATTATTGTTAAATTTCTTCATCACTTTGACCCAAGGCTTTTAATGTCATAGGATGTTTTTAAAATATTGTAATTACAAGCATTACTGTGAATATAGCTAACTTAGGCCATATGTCTTTGAAGACTTGAGCTATTGATTTCGCCATTCTATATAATATTAAATATATTTTGATTTTAATAATTAATCATCACATTTCTCTCGCTCTGCCTTAGGTTCAGTGTATTTTCATATGGAAAAATTTCTTATATTATGTGAGAGGTTATTTCCTCATTATTTACTTTTTTCTGGTAATATCAACATTAGATTACAAATATCAAAGAATGCAATATAAGATAATCTCGAAGACTTGTCATCTAATATACACTTTCATTTCTTCTTCTGTTTTAGCTTTCATTCTTACAGCTTCATATATTTATTTACTACCCTAACATTATATTTTAATTGACTTTATTTTCAATGTTCAAACTAGATGATTTATTCTAATTTATTATTTTATGTAAATATTCTTATGACCTTAACATATGAGTTAAATGTTTCATAAATAGTGATTTCTAACTTCTTAAATATTTTGTTGTATTTCAACATTTTTAGACTCTATTTTAATTAGGGTAATATTATTTTTGACTCTTGTAAATAGTTTTCAGAATCAAATTATTTTAATTTTAAACCCTTCTTCAGATACAAATCTAATTTCAAAATTTCTTATAAAAATCTATCTGAAATCGAATTAATCTTACAAACCTCTAATATTTGGAGGTTGTCTATAGTTATGATTTATAGAGAATATTTTAAAGAAAGAAAGTATATTTTCAATGTTTAACCTCAAATTATGATTAAAGGTAAAGCTTCGCTAAAGAATTTGATAAGAAAGTAAGGAATTCATCAACCGTTTTAAAATGTTTCTTATATAGTAAATTAATCCTCTTAAAATGCTTTCAATGACATCAGTTTCCACTTTACTTTTCATTTTACAGAATATTCTGTTTGATAAGGTAAAAATTCATTAAGTGTTTTTAATTTCTGATTTTGACTTTGTAATGAAGTAAATAGATAGTTACTAAATAGCTATCATTTTTGATTGGACTACGGTGTTTTTAATAAAAAATACGATAACAGATGGTCATTCTACCTTCCGTTTGAAATTGAGAGTCTCTCATAATTTAATTAATATTTGTTTAATTGCAAAAAAGAAATTGTTTTTTCTTGCATTATTAAGTCTTAAAATTAGGTATGGGATAATCTAAACATAGGTATAATTAATTTATTTTATCCCTTTTCTTGTTGTTTGCTTCAGCCGATTTCGCTAAATTTTTTTTTTTATGCCCTCATCCATTTTTGTACGATTAAAGTTTTGATGCACAGTTTTCTCTTCATTTAGGTATTCCTTTAAAAATCAAAACCAGTAGCAATTCTAATATCAATCTGATAAGATACTAATTTTTGTAATATTTAACAACTACATCAAAAAACTCAAATATAATAGATATTTACTATATGTACTTCATATTCTCATTCTTCATCGATTCCATTGTTATTTTGTTATATTTTGGAGATGTTGGTATATTTGAATATGCGTAGTCCATTTTATAATTAAATTAATGATTGAAGAAAGTTTTCTTCAGAATGAAAATGAAGACTTCGGTGAATAACTTCTTGAGGATTTTATAATAATCAAAAAATTAGGAACAGGAGCCTTCAGCAAAGTGTATATGGTTTAATATCAGGAATCAATCTATGCGTTGAAAGTATAGTTCAAATTGTTATAGGTTGTTGATAAATAATCAGCTACTGGAAATAATATTGTTGACAAGCTTAATCAAGAAGCCACCATACTTAGCACTCTAGAGCATCCAAATATCGTTTAATACTACAAGACAATTGAATCAAAGAGAAAACTTTATTTTCTGATAGAATACATTGAAGGCAAATCGCTTCAGGAGTGTATTGATTAATCATTGACTGACTCTTAAATTAGATAGATTATCTAATAAATCATATATGCTGTTGCATATATTCATAAAAAAGGTATAATTCATAGAGATCTAAAACCTGGTATGAGCATCATTAAATTTAGATAACATTTTGATTGATAAAGAATGGAATGTGAAAATAATCGATTTCGGATTGAGTTTCAAAACAATAAAATCAACTACTCATGAAACCTGCGGAACATTAATTTATATGGCACCAGAAGCATTAATGAAAAAGGAATACTTCAAATCTGTAGATATATGGAGTCTTGGAATTATACAATATATGATGTTTGCAAACTGTCATCCATTTTGCACAGATGATACAAGAGAGACCTTTTTAAAGAAAATGAAGACTCCTTAGATTGCATGTTATCCCGAAAATATGAGCAAGTTTAAAATTAGCATAATCATAGAATAGAGCGGCTATTTCATTTTTTGAAAAAACTGCAGCATGGGAACCAGAGGCTCGTCTTACGGCTGAATAAGCCCTTATTCATCCCTGGATTAGCGGTGTTAATAGTTAAATGCCGATGTCATCGAAAGATATCATCCAAACATTTAAATGTTAGAATCAATTCCATCAAGTATTTGAGTTTCTCAATATTTATAGATGATAAAAATGTTGATGATACTTAAATTGATACAGAAAGTTAGCTAAAAACGTGATTCGTTATAAACACAATAGCTTAGAGCTCACTCTTAGTTTTAGCATAATTTAAAACCTTTGGTTGTTACTTCAAGAAATCCAAGTTCTTAATAAAAATTGAAAACAGAATCTTAATAACTCCAACCACCATTATCTGCCCACAGAACTACTCTATCAAGAGTTCAGAGCAATGCTTCTTTTCTTAGTTGTTCAGATGTATGATTACCTTATAATTAGTAACCAAGAGAGGATGCGAGATTAAAATAAATGAAGAGCAAACAATAGCAATTTAAATTACCACCAATAAACACTAAATCTGCAAACAATTCGCCTTATAATAGTAAATCTCAGTAAATGTTCACCTTCAGTCCATATAAGAAAGTACAAGCAACCGGAGAGCTTAAGAAGTCATAATTTAAATTATGATATATAATATTTTATATGTCTTTTTTAAAGAAATTATTCATAAAATCAGCAAAAGAAAAAGAAAATCAATAAGCGCATCATAATATCAATCAGATTTATAATACATAACCATTCCAAAAGAAATCAAATCCAATTTATAATTATAATGGTATATAACGAATTGAATAATTCGAAATCATACTTGAATAATAAATAATAGACCTTGAACAACTGAAGCAACTGACTTGGAGAGGCGCTCCATAAGGTAATTTATAATATAACATAAGTTTACAGAGCAAAAGCGTGGAAATTAATATTGAAATACATTCCACCTAATCATATGAGTTAAACTAGTGTAATTCAGAAAAAGAGATAAGACTACCTTCAGTACATAAAAAATTACTATGAACAAATTCATGATAGAGACGATGGTGAAGAAAAAATAATTAAAATTATATCAAATGATGTATTACGAACCTAACCAGATTATCTACTGTTTAGAGACCCTAAAATCTAGGATCTATTCAAAAGATTACTTTTTATTTGGAGTCAAAGGCATCCAATGAGCGGGTACCTTATTTCTTAAAGTAGTTATGTCTAAGGAATAAATGATATTGCAGCTCCATTGATAGCTGTGCTTCTTAATGAATATGTCAGAGTAGATTTTAATAAATTTGATGTACCTCCAGAATTTCATAAACTTCCCGATGACATACTCCTAGATGTAGAGGCTGATATTTATTGGTGTCTTTGCAAAATCATTGAAAACATCCAAGATTATTTCATCCACAATTAACCTGGTGTGTCTCTAGCATATGAAAAAATAAAAAATATACTGAATACAGTACATTATATAGATTATGTAGATTGATCCAACAATTTTAGAATACTTTCATTAACAACAAATAGACTTTAATCATTTTGCTTTCAGATGGGTTATTTGTCTGCTTATTCGAGAATTCCCTCTCTACTTGGCTATCAGAATAATGGATACTTACCTATCCGAAGGAGATAACATAGCAAATCTTCATATATACACTGTTTCCAATTTGATTCTGAAATGTGGACCTGAGGTATCATATTCAAAACGATGTAGATTAAAAATAAAAACATGGGGGATGCTGTCATCTTTTTACAAAACCTTCCTACTAAAGATTGGACGGAATTAGATATTGAAATGCTATTACAAGAAGCCTATGTGTTTAAGGAGTATATGACTAACAAACAAAGTTTGAATTAATCAATGACTTCCAATTAATCAAATCGAAATTCCAATAAATGAAGATAAATTCTCTTTATTAATTTTAATTAACAAAATTTAATCTATGCTACCATTGTATTGCCAATCTCCCAAATAATCTTGTTTGCACCAATTCTAAAAATTACTCTCCGAATCTCTCAATCGCAAATAAACTCAATAAATAAAGAAAATAATAGAAGTAGTTTTCAAATGAGGAGCTACAGTAAATTACTATCTCCTCCTCATCATCCTATTCCCATTAATAATTAACTCAACTAAAAACCCGTTAGATAAAGTCTCCTCAGAAAATTTGGCCTTACAAACAGAAAAAAGAGAATTAATATAACTACTCCAACAGATAAACTAATTGATAGAAAAGTTAGAATAAAAAAAAATCAATTGTTATTCTAAATTGCTGAATTATGCAATTACATTTGTACTATGAATATATAAATTAATATTTAATATGAATAAATCAAAAACTAAATCACCTCCTCCTGGGATATAGTAATAAAGCTTATCTGCAGAACCTAAAGAAACAAAGAAACAGAGAACAACTTTAGATTATTCATTCAAAGAAATTAAGAAACTTGAAGGTATATATAAATTGTAACTACTATCCAAGAATTAAAAAATAAAGAAGTTAAACCTAGAGAAGGAGAGTAATGGATATTTAAGGAATAGAAGAAGTAAGAAAACCTGGAAGTAAAAAATGATACTCCAAAAGAATAAGTGCTTAAATAATAATAATCATTACCTGAAGAAACAGAGCCTGTTTAACCATAATAATAATAACCTTAAAAATAATAAGACAATAAAAAAGGCAATGCTCCATAGCCGCCTCCTGCTTAATTGATACCATAAACAAATGTTGCAACATAATTAATCACATTATAAAATATACCACTAAATGGAAAGATAATTGGTGGTAAATTACAAGAAAATAAAAATCAAAGTCAGCAATCTAAATTCAAACCGGAATTGTGTTGTTAATCATTAATTTTATGTCAAAATAAATTAACAAGCATCAATGGATTTTATCAGATTATGCAAACTGTCATGCCTAATGTTGAATTGCTTAGATGGATAGATTTATCGTATAATCAATTGACAACTTTAGATTATAATTTTAAGGAACTGCCTCATTTGCAATCATTATATCTAAACTTCAATTAGATAAAGGACATTAATGAATTAAAATAAGTATTTAAAAATTCATATAAATCAGTTGTCACATTTATAAGAGTTTAGATCTCTAAAAATATATGGAAATCCAATTGAATAAATCATTAATTTTAGATTATACATAATTGATGTGCTTCCATAATTGAAAAGGATAGATTCTGTCCTCATTAGCAAAAAAGTATTAAATTCAAATATTCCATTTTAGGAAAGAGACAATTCCTCCATGATTGTAAAAGTGTTTGATTTTAAACCTTAAAATGAAAGCTTAAGCGGATAAAGAGAAATTGCTATTACAATAAACCTAAATTACATAATAAAAGTCGAAGTCCTAACCAAAAAAGAAAAAGTGATTTAATATATTCTAATAAATTGATATTTATATAAGGGAAAAAAGTAATCAATAATTTTTATTAAGATTTTTTCTTTTTAATTGTTGTTCCATTTTTATATTATCCTACTTAACTACTTTAATCTAAATAGATATAAAAATATTTTACTCTTGCTTTAATATCCTATAAATCTTAGTCTGTATATTCAGAATCAGTGATAACCTATTATAATCTATCATTTTCTTCAATCAATAATTGAATTTTCTCATATAAATCAGCATATAAATTATCTGCCATTTTCTGTTCATAAACTTATTCAACTTAATTATAAGTTAATTTTAAATGTTCTTCATCCCTTTTTAATTGTTATTATTGCTTATTGAGATTGTCATTTTCATTCTTCAACCTTGCAATATCAGAAATCATTTATAAATGAGAATTTGAAGATAATTATTGATTCAATCTATCATTTTCAGCTATTAGATTCTAAACTTTATTTTCTAATTCATTAACTAAATCTTTAATTTAAGAATCATCATATTAATCTAATTTATTTTGTAATTCATCACATTTCAATTGGTATTACTATTATTCTGATTTGATACTCTAAAGTTATTACGATGTTTGTTTACGATTTTACAAAGATTTTTCTAAATTTTCCTTCATTCTTGTAACATCAGTTTATTCAATTAGGGATTAATTTTCTAATTACAATTTTTCATTTAGCTATTATAATAAATTAATTTTTTATTCTAATTCTTAAATAAATTATGAAGATTGCCCTCTTTATACTTCGCTTTCCCTCTATTAAATAGTCTATTACAGCAAATTATTAGAGTCTTGTAATTATTTTAACTCATTAAATAAATTGGGATTGTTGTAATTGATTGATTTCAATTATGATTATGACCCTTTATTATTATTATAGTAAATGGGAGTATTTATCAAATTATATGGTTGAGGGGATTGAACAACAGTTGGCTATTGGATTTATTTTGGAGATTGAAAAATGATGGAGTTATCCCGATTTTAAGCAGGACTCATACATACAAATTATTTGGTAGGATTAACGAATTAGGACAATTGTGTTTCATTAATTGAATCGTTTTTTTTATCATTTTTACTTCCAACTTTAAATTAGATTGAGTAATCATGTGATTAGTTAGGATTTAAATTGGATTTAGAATTGCTATATTATAATGACTATAGAATAAATAAATAATTTACAGGAGGTTTATCTTGATGACTCGAATTAGATGCTCTTTTCAGATATTAATTGTAGTATGGATTGGTTGCAATGGAAGTGGTTTTATTAATAGTATCAATGTCAGTGCTTGCTTTGTGATGAAATTTATTAGGTGGCATTTATGTATTTTAGGTATTTTCAATGCTTGAAAAAGGTGATCTTGATTGATATTGATTGCATTTTAAAGATTACTATGGAGGTTCTAATTTTGTAAAGATTAAATTTACATGAAGGATTCCTTCTTCCAACTTAATATTGTTACATGCTAACAGCCAAAATTTTAATTATTATTATTTATGAAATTAAGAAAATTAGGATTATCAATATTATTATGTAGTGCTGGATCATACAGTCTTTATTGTAACGAGAAGACAAAAGCGTATATTTGGGGTAACGGAGTATATTAGGCACTTCCTGGACAAGGCTTAAGCTTTAATAATTTCACTCCAAAATAATTGACAGATTTCGATGATAAGAATTTATAGAAATTATTCCTATCTGAATAATTCGAAAGTGGTATAACAGGAAACGGAGATGGATATATATGGAATGCTCACAAGTTAAGTAGTTCAGAAGATAAAAATATAATAGATGGAAAAAGATAAAATATTATTAAAATCAATGTACCTAAGGGTAAAATTTAATAAATCAAATATACCAAATAATTTGTATGGACATTAACCAATAATGGAGAGGTTTTTTAATATTAAGTGAAGGATGGATAGTTTATTAATACTCCAAAAAAAATCAATAGTTTATAAAACATCAAATAAATAGAATGTGGAGAAGATCATTTTGTGGCACTTACTAATGATGGATCTATTTTAACTATGGGTGATGATACTTATGGTCAATGTGGATTAGGATCCAATAATAGAAGCACAGCTCCTCCATTTTATGAATCAAGAATTAGGAATCCAACCAAAATAGACAATTTACCAAAAATACATAAAATTATATGTGGATCCAATCACACATTATGTATAAGCACAGAAGGATCAGTTTATGGATGGGGATCTAATTCATAAATGCAATTATCTCATTCAGAAGAATTCTCAAGAGTTGGAGAGCCTTTGATTGCTGTTTATAATCCATTAAGAATCTCTGCCCTTATGGACAGCAATAATTAGGTCTTGGATTTGGCTGCTGGAAATGAATTTAGTGTATTTGTCACAAAAAATAAATAAAACTCAGAAACTGAGGTATTTGCTTGTGGTCATAATATCAGAGGACAATTAGGTTGTGGGTTTGTTAGACATATAAGTGATATTGTTAAACTTGAAGGACTCTCCAATTTTAAAATTAACATCAATGGTAAATAGGAAAATGTAGAAGTCAAATAAATTGAATGTGGATATAATCATTGTCTGGCATTAACAAATGTGGGTGCTATATTAGAGTGGGGTGATAATGAGTATGGATAGTTAGGAAATAAAAAAAGGTACGAAATCTTCATTTATTGTAGATCATTCACAGACAAACCTATAGTAGTCTCATAATTTGTGTAAAATAGAGTAGCTTCTATATCTTGTGGCAGTAATAGTAGCGGAGTGATTGTTTAGTAATGATAGGAGTATATTAAATCAATTCATTAATTCTAAATAAATATTATTATAAAAGTGATATCATCAATAACTGAGTCATCATCTATCGTCCACATTCTATATGCAACCCTCATCAATTCTTCACTAGCTCCTTCAATATTATTTTGTTAGTAGTATTTTCCAATAATATCAACGATTATCTAATTATCTAAGAACTCCCATATTCCATCTGAGGCTATAATGATAAATTTATCATTAGATCCCAATTAATATTCAACAATATCTGGAACACTGCTAACTCCAATCGATTAGGCTACTTAGTCTCCTATACTTCTACTCATAGCTAAACCTGGATATTGGGTTCCATTTACCCAAACTCTCATTGGTCCAATTGGATTACCTGGAATATATACATAATTTACCATTTTAGTCATAGAATGTATCTATTTTACCTCCTGATGAAATTACTCTATATTACTCTTTTTTAATGGTTAATTTATGATCAACTGATAATTAATAAGGTTTAAATTTAGAACCATATCCTATGAATTTCCCAATGACTGTTCTACTATCGCCAACATTAAATGAATGTATTTTACCATTTTCTTACAATATTATACCATTCAATGTAGAACCACTAAAATTTGTATCAAAAGATTATTTGTTTACATTAACAGAGATGTTTTAGATGGATTTCTGAAGTGTTTCTTTTATTTGATGAGATTATTATGATAATTTATCTCTTCGAATGCTATTTGGCAAATTAGTTTAGATGAAATTGGACACAAATTGTCCATTTTGTCCATGTCCATCACATACAAAAAATAAATGTAAATTCTCGACGAGATTAGTTTAACAATAGAATATGTCTTAGTTTACTTTGGTAGGGTTATTTGCTATTTAACCTTATCTGGTTTTATGAGTATATTTTAGATTTAATTGAAGATTATCTTGAGATTCAAAACTACATAAAGAAGCCGTTGATCTATTTTTATTATAGATTTCCTCTGCTTTTAAAATGTTAATTTGACTATGAACTCTTCTCTCAGGAACTGAAGAATCTGGATTAACCTTTTTTGTTTAAGTGAGATATTTACTTACATAATTATGCCACAATTATTTTCGAGATCTGATTGGTATTCTATTTATTTCTTTTGATTTATTTAGTTTCATGATAGAGTCCAAAAAGGAGTTGTATTTATTGTGAGTGTTGTTTAATTATTACCTGCTTTGTTATGAATAATTATTAACAGTCAATCCTTTTGATATGTGTAATATATACGATTTTTTGTTATCTAATATTGTTTCTCACTCTAATCTCTCTATCCCTAAACAGGCCTATCATTTATAAATGATTTCGCTTTATTTTAGTTATCATCTATTAATATGATGATGTAATACTTTTGTTATCTCTACTATGGTACTAATAATTGGCTTCAGTTTTGAAAATTCTTGGGCTTTTTAATCGCTTAGATGCTGATTTAGTGTAATCAAAAATCCTTTAATTCATATTATTTATAATAAAGAAATGGATGAAAGTGGAATAATAGGATAAATGATACTTGAAAGTAGTGGCAGAATTAAAAAAGTAATCCATTTAATCAACATTTAGAGCAGCGGCACTTTAGACAATCCTAAATTAATCCCATTTATAACAACTATCGTTTCCTCCACCGCTAAGATTTTAGAAAAACAATCACTCAATAGAGTAACATGTAAATTCAAAATATATCATAGTAAGTTATTAAGAATCTGATATCATAATTTACATCGATTAATCAGACATAGTTGTGTTAGAAAGAAAAAAGTGATGTAAATATATATTAAATAATATGTATATATACTTTAATTTTTATATTCAATTATTCCTTTAAGTATGAATATCTAATTACTTAGAGTCGATATATTTTTAAAATTTAGGATCTAATCTAATAAAAGAATATAATCACAACGATTATTTCTTAGTTTTCTTCTGAATATCCTAGTTGCAAATCCTGAATTTTAGTTTTATGGTTTAAATTTACTCTAATTATTATAGAATCGATCTTAGCGAAAGGTCATCATCGCTTTAAATAATAACAATTTGAACATTATTTGTATTGCTCAAAAAAGAAATCAATGTGTTGACCAAAAAATAATAGTCTGATATACTACTTCTTATGAGCAATAATTGGAGCCTTATGAATTGCATAATGATCAATTAGATAAGGGACACATTCAAGATTCAATTCCAAACTTATCTAAAGAAGTATTAGTAATTATTATATAAGATTAAGTAAAAGAAAAGTAAATTAAGAATTCTGAAATTTCTAAAAGCTATTAAAATTTCCTCAGAGAAGATTTCATAAAGATGAAATTTTAATTAAAATCCTTAATCAATAAATTAAGTTATTGATTCCACCATATCTTTGTAGAGTAAGAAGTATCAGCAATTCATGAAGAGATTATATTACTAGGAAACTTACTCTAGCTATGATTATTTTTATTATCCCCCCAATATAATTTTAAAGAATAAATATTAATTATTGATCATTAGACATAAATACATAAATATATTTATTATCCAAAATAGAGGTTTTGACTAAGAATAATAATGAACATAGAGTATGAGCAAACAGCAAATTTTTTCTACCCTCCTGATCAATAAGGGAACAAATAAAAATTTATCCATTCTAGAAGATTATTGAAACCAAAGAGTGCTAATTCTAATCCATCTACATAATTGTAAAATATCTAATTTAATTATGGATTATAGAACAATTTCAAAACCAGGTTCTGATAATTCAGGTTTGCATACTCCTCCTTTGATAGGAGAGATAAAGAAGGGATCAGATATATTAAGAGATTGCGAAATCAAAAAAAATAACAATTATCGGATTCTTAGTTCGAATATAAATCAACGATCAAGCTATCCTTAATAGATTAGTTTTGGAAATAAATTCATATTTATTGATGAATAGAAATTAAATAAATTCACTGAAAGCCCTTAATCAAAGATAAATAAACTGCCAGAAATCTTCAATTACAGAAACTCTTGTTAAGGGTTCAAATAGAATTATAGAATCTAAAGTAGTCAAAGTAAAAGAGAGACTATAACAAATTTTAATGTTGAATGTCCTAAATAAATATATATACAACAATGCATGCAACGATTAGAACTGAAACAAACCATTTAAAAATAAAATCAAAATAGATTACCTAGTTAACCTATTTCCTTTTTATAAGCAAAATAATAAAAGAAGATGATAAGTCGAATATTTTCAGGCAAACGTGATTCATGATTTTAGTAAATATCTCATTCCATTGTTGATTTTTGTACTTTAAAGGAACTTGCTTTTGTCAACCCCATTTTTGGTGTTTAAGCATTTAGTTTTGATATTGCATCTTCCAATTGAGATGCCTCATCGTCAACACAATCATCCTCCTTTTCCATTTGATTAATTTATTATTAAAACGAATTTTTCAGAGCAGTCTTTCGTAAATCTGATTAATTGCTTTTCTTGGCTACTGGTGAATCTATATTCAATATAATCAATTAGATACTTGCATCAGAATTGAGCTACTACTTCATAGATTGACTGAATTGACTAAATTTGCTTTAATGAGGTTAGGGTTTCTAATCTAGTCTAGTTACTGATCCATTATTGGATACATTAGAAAATGATCCCATAGTATCTATTCTCCCATTCAAAGCAGGTTGTCTCTATTGTAATTGCATAGATCCAACTTGACTTGAAGGTCTATCTCAATAGGAAAGTGTTAATTACCCTTATTACTTTCCTAATCCATAGACAAAGTCCTTTTCATATTCTCGAAGATTGTCTTATATATCGATCAAGTCTTACTCCTTGAAGATCTCCTTGAAGTATGGATGTTTTAGACAATCTTCAGATGACACTCTTCCTTTAGGTTCTGGATGTAACATCTTCTTTAACAGATCTACTAATTATAAAGGACCCTATAATGATTATTATTTTAATTACTGTTTATATTTATTTTAGGTTGTAATTGATCTAACAATTCTTATTTGCTCTCAGGATAGCTTTGTAGTCTGTCCCTTGGAAGGGTTGTCTACCAGTCAAGAGTATGTAAAAGATTACTCCTGCGCTAAACACATCGCATTTTTCGTCATAGAATGGATCCCCTTCTTTATATGCTAATATTTCAGGAGCAACGAATCCAGGTGTTCCACATCTCTTAAATAGGATATCTTCATTTAGAAAACAAGCTAATCCAAAGTCTGCAATCACTACATCAGTATCATTATCTTTTTCTTTTAATAATAGGTTTTCTGGTTTCAAATCTCGATGGATGCATTTTTTTGAATGTAGATGACAGAGGGCTTTCATGAGATTATACATTAATTTTTGTAGATTAGGGGCAGATAATGGCTAAGATTTGACTCTGGATAGCAACTCACCTCCTTTTAAGATATCCAAAACAAAATAAATGGAGTTTTAAGTTTCATAAACTTCATGCAGTCTTACTAGATTTTCTTGATTCAATCTTCTCATCACTTTAATTTCATTTTCCAATGATTCCCTACCTTTAAATTGTTCTAACATGAATTCTTTATTAAATGCTTTGACTGCGTAATTTATACCAGTAGACTTTTTTGTTGCCAAATAAACTTTAGCAAAACTTCCTTTGCCAATCATTTTGGCAACTCCAAATTCATCATGGAATGTAGATTATAAACATCTGTGATTTAGAAGATTCTTGAGAGCATCGTAATCTTCAAATTTAAAATCAATATACTTTCCATTTCGTGACAACCTAATTATGTTACCATGTTAATCATGTTTAATTAAATTCATCATAACAATAGTAGTTTATAACTAAAACATTGTTTCTTTTTTAATGTAATATAAATGCTCATTTCCTAGTTAGATTGTAATTGGTTTCAATTATTTTGATTTCCTACCAATCTTGTGGCAATCCTGCTCGAAAATAATATTATCATTCTAGAAATTGAGACAAGATTTACATCGTAAACTTCCTAATTCAGAATCTACCACAGAGATGTCTACTTTGCCACAAGATCTGGATTATCAAAAAAAGAAGCGATTTCAATACTCATAATAATATTTTATTGATTTATATTAATATTAATAAATGGGTGCTGCTTGTGCTAATGCTAAAATGAATTAGACAGTTCCTGTAATAAAGATATCGAATGGTGAAGATTAAACTGAAAAAATATAAGAAAACTAGTAACAATAATAAAAGAGCACATCTTCCAAAGAACAGAACAATACTAAATTAAGCACTATTTCAAAATAAGTTTCAAATATTTCATCAGATGGAGTGCCAGTAAGAAAGAACACAACATCAAGAATGTCTATTCCAGGTGAGGACAGAGATAAGAAGCCAAAAGTTTAAGGGAAAAATCAAGGGCAGGAATAGTTGTTAAAACAAAGAGAATTTATACTTGAGAAATTTCTGAATGATATCTAATTGTTAGACAAGTAATTAATGTCAGATGTCATCTAGATGTTGAGATTCTTCTTGTCTCATTTGGAATAATCAAACATTTATTGGACTAAGTAATCAAATCAAATAATTTTAGAGTTTGGTTAATTAATAAAAATGATTACAGCATTGTTGTAGGATTCACCAACAACATAGGGGAATCAAGAAAAATCAGAATATTGTACACCAAACAAATTGAATTTGTGGCTAATCTACTTGACAACTATCTCTTTTTCTAGCAGTTTGCAAGCTATAAGATACATGATTTCAGCTTTAGATTGAATAAAAAACACAATAATTTCTATGTATTTTCAGAATAAGAGTATTGCGATGTGTCTTTAGAGAATATTTAATTGTAACCATAAGATATCCATCCCCTATTAGAGTATCTCCTCAATACTATATAATAAATGCATTAAAATTTCTATGTTCATTCAGGGTAATTCATATTTGTAATTAAGAATTAAGCCATCCAATGTTTACATGACTTATCATAAATAAAAGGTATTTAAATTAGACTTGAGTTTTTCCGCCTTCAGATTCTCTAGAAGACTAATCAAAAATAAAATTAAAGATTTTAGAGCCAATCTTGTCAACGACTTAGAAGATATAGCTATTCTTATCATCAACTCCTTTTACAAAGGCCCTGAAATTAGGCAACAATTAAAACAAAAGAATATAGATTTCGCCAATATTATTGAATCCCTATATTAGAAATAGAAGAATGTCCTTGAATGCTACATTAAAGATATTATCCTTTTACTCTATAGAAATAGATAATATCTTTACGATCTTAAAGCATCTGATTATGTTTAATTATTGAATTGTCAATCAAAGTCTGAGTTAAAGGATCTCATTCAAGATATTCCAAACACTAATAATAACAATCCTAACAATAATATCAAGAACGTACTTTTTGAATACTCAAACAATAAAGTAGTCTTTTATAATTTAACATAAACTAGAAATTAAAAATCATACACTTAGTATGAATTAATTGATCAAAATGGACAATAGATTAATATCATAAATGGGAGTGCTTACATATAGGATAATAAATTGTATTTCGCTTATGAAAATATGATTGGCATGATCACAATTAAGCTTAGTTCCGAGTAACTAGAAGATACTTTGGAAATGCTATAAATATCGCTAAGATAATATTTGGCTACTAAAGAGTAATAGAAAAAAGAGAGGATTGACTCTGCTTAAAAAAATTATTAATTGCAGTTATAAATTAATTAACATAGCCCTACAACATATATTGAAGATTAATTCAAATTCAAAGACACTGCTTAGACTTAAAAATAACCTAATAAGAATTTTCATGATAGAATTTACTTTACTTCACAAAATTTATAAGAAATATTTAGCATTATTGATATAGAATAAAGAAATTATATCACAACCTAATAATTCTATGATTTCCTGTAATAGTAAACAGATTCAATCGATAATTCATTACTTCAATAACTTTTATTTGATAAGATTTAAGAAATTGTTTTGTTCTTCTCTGATAAAAACTTGACTTTTTATGAATTCGTATAAATATTTTCCTTTAGATCAAAATAACAATTGCCTATCTATAAGAAAATAATTAAGCCTTTGAAATAAGCATAGAATGTAAAATCATTCACAATTATTAATAATACAGTTCATTATTATGATGGTCAATATTTATACAATGATGAAAACCAAAATGAAATTCAATATGATCTAAAATATCTTATCAATAATTAAAATTAACTGTTAATAATTGGAATTTAGGATGGTTGTCTATTAATTAATACCTAAAATAGTTCTATACAGACAGATGTAAAAATCAAATAAGATTTTGGATTTTCCAAATTTAATGATGTCTACTTCATTACCTAATAAAATGAACTTATATTGTATTCTTTAACTCAAAAGAGAAGTGTAAAACTCAATATAAATGGGATAGTATCTACATGCAACTTAATATATCATAAATATTTTATTCTCTATTTACAAAATCAGAATATTTATAGAATATTTTTATCCTAAGATAAATATTGTATAACATCATTCAATGTATTTGAAATCTTACTTGAACATGGAAGGTTAGATTAGAAAATCAAATTAAAGTAAATAAGCACTAAATAAAATTCAAGTGATGAATTGATTGGATCGTACTCTATCAATAAGGTTCATTATCCTATTACAAATCAAACTCCATCATTATTCAGAATTTTATCTGTTTCAAAAGAACAATAGAATTTCATACTAATCTAAAGAATAGTACATGTGGAGTTTGAATCATTTGATGAATGTTATTAAGTTTGCAAATATTTGGACCCTTATTTATTGGATTTCTTTTTGAGTATGGAATAATATGATGGAAAAGTTAGATTAAATTATATTATAGAGAATTGTGAGCTTATTTAAAAAGAAGATTGCAATTTTAAATTAATGAAGAGATGCATTAAGAAATTGAATGAACTTAGATCACATGATATCTTTGTCTAGGATATGCATCCAAATAATGTCTTTATTACGCCTAATTCAGTTGTTTTTGCTTCTATTATTTACAAAACTAACATTCCTAGTATTTACTAAGAAAAATCAGTACCATTTATGTCATCATTAGAGTATATGGAACCTAAATCTTTTTTGGCTTACACTTAAAATTTAACTTAGAATTAGATCTTTATTAATCCCAGTAAAGCTAATATTTACTGTTTAGGATTGATATTTTTAAGGATGCTTTCAAATTATCAGATTAAAAATACTAAAGAATAATAATTTTATTTAATGGAAATAAATTTGGCTCTTTAATAATTTTAATTCCCTAATATAAAACCATTACTTGAAGAAATGCTAAAAGAGAATGAAGAATAAAGATATGATTCTTATTAATTAATATAATTTATTAGAAAATATTAAAAATTAAATTAAAAAGAATTGTTCTTTACATCACAACCATTATAATTATTAGAGACTTAATTACAATAAACTTTATTTGGATATTAAAACAATACAATTTATCAATATTAGTAAGTATTTAAAATTTATACAAACATTTTATCTACTAATTTACAAGTATTATGCGTTTAATCAACAGAAGAAGGTTAATTAATTCTATTGGTCAAATCATTAAATTAGAGGACATTTAAATATTTACTCCTTTACATATCTTTATCACAAAATCAATATGAGTCGCACCAATAACACTCATGCTTAATCTTTGAAGAATTAGTTAATTTCTAAAAATTTGCAGAGGAGGAATAAGAGGAAATCGAGAATAACCAATTATAAATTATATAGTAGAATGGGTTACACGTTTAATCACCTCATGTAGTAACCAAAGAAGTGTAAGTCCCGATATTCGATTTACAAAATGTAGATGAATGTACATATTTGATAAATGGAGATGAACTTTACTTTTTTGGGTTTGGAATAACAAACGAAATAAGAAGAGTGGGATCACGGGATTGTTTTGTATATATGCCTAAAAGAAACTTATTCAAAAAGATTGGTTATAGAACAACCTACTATGAAGCTTAGGCACTAGATTTTGGTGAATATTGGTTGTTATTGGAAAAGACTTCTAATAATAATAAGATCAGAATTCAGCAAATTATTAAGGCTTCATTTTTATGTATTGAAAGGGTTATTAAATTAAAAAATAGCAATCAAATGTTTTATTTTAAATATTTGTAAAATGTTATTGCCATCTCTAATAACTTATGTTGGTATATCAACATTGAAGCATTTAAAGCATTTGAAATATAATGTGATAATATACCAAAATCATTAATCTTAATGCAAAACACTTAAAATAATACAATTCTAACATAAGATGGTGTATCTACATTATAATTTGATGGTAATGTGTTAAAAGTATATTGATTTATATATTGTATCAATGATATTTGAATACTTGTTACATTGTAGCTCTTGAAATGGTAGATTCACTTTTAGAATCCATATCTATCATCTCAATTCCAGTTAAATTAACTAGTAGTTCTTCGTTCAGCAGACCATCAATTTAAGATGTAATAATTTAAGTGTGCTTTAATTATTCGTCATCAAAAAAATCATTAAGTTTTTATTTAGGAAATATTTATGTGCTCATTAAAATTTCCATTGGTCCTAAATTTGGTAAATCAATCAGACCATTTCTTACTCTTTAACTTCCAACACTGAACCTATTTTTTAAGTCAAATATTGATGAATTTTTATTATATCTCTTAGGGCCATCGTCTTTATTTTTTTAAAACGACTTAACATAATTTTTAATGATAAATCGTAAATTTGGTATTAACTCTCTACAAAATACTTAATTGTTTTATAACTCTGTGAACATCCATTAACTCTATAAACTTAAATATGCTTATTGCTAGGATTCTTTTTATTATCGTGCAGTCATCATAGATTTGTTAATTATTGATTGCCTACTTGAATGTTTTTGTTTTTATGTTAATTTATTTTCTCTCAATTCATCAATCAACAATAGAGTATGTTCTAGTATTTCTTTTGATTTTACTCTTAAGGATGCAAATTTAATTTAGGCATTTAATTATAACTTTTTTTATAGTCTTAAATAATTATATAATAAAATACCCCTCTAGAAATATATCAAATGATTCTTCATCAACATATTCTTATAATTACACTAGTAATAATGCATAAATGATAAATAATTTCTCTTATCTTAATTAAATTAGTTATATACTATCCTTATATAATACTTCTTTATAATTATCTTTTGATCGACTTTCTAAGTATTTTTCAACAACTGTATAAATCAAGCATGCTTCATCAAAATAATGTTTTAAAAATGAGATAGTATGAAAATGACTTGAAAAATCCCTGTCTGATAGATGTTATTCGATTTATAAGTAATCAAGGATTTCATTAGAAAGGTCTAACAATCCAGTTGGATATCTCTTAAATTTGATAGAATAACTCATTTTACTGTAATTTAGAAACGGGTATTTTAAATGATATCTTTATCTATTTTAAAATGCTATACGATTGCAATCAATTTATCGAAACTCTCGCTGTCACTTGAATCTAACTATTCACAAATTAACATAAATTAATAATAACATTATAATGTTAATTTTTCTCTTCCATTTAGTACACTCGTAATTCATACAGGATGGAATAAGAATTATAGAAAAAGGAATGAAATTATCCCTTGACAATTATCTAGTTAACTAGAATTGTCCAGCAAGTCTGAACATCTTTTGTAATAATCCATTTCCATCACTTTCAATTCAGGAATAAGAAACTTTAAATTTTGTCTAACTTCAAGTACAATACTATATCTAAATAGGTTTAATAATTTCTAGAATCATTAGAGCCTAAATAAAATAAACATTAATATTATAATAAAATTATCAATCAATTATTTTAAGAAATCGTTCTATATGATCAAAACGAAGAATTTTTGTCATTTGCCTTTAAATTCAGTTAATTTTATCCAGAAAAAGATTTTTAGTTAATTTAGGAAAAGTATTATATAGATTCATTTAATCGATCAGCCATTTTAATGGATAATAATAATAACAGTATGTTGGAATTAAATACTACACTGTTTATGAACTTTCAAGATTTATATACTCCTTCTAGCAATAACATTTTAAATCATATATTAGAATCAGTTAATGTTTTGTATCCTCCTGATAGATTTAATATAAGAACAGCAGATAAAAAAGGTTGCATCTACTTTACTAAACCAATTTATCTATCATAATTTTATGTGTTGAGTTACAATGCTAATTCAAAAATTAGAATTAATTATGACAACAATTTAATTAAGGTGATTTCAATCCCTGTTAAAAATTAATGGATTTTAGTTTTTGGTCCAAATGGCTACTAAGTCAACAATATTACCATCCCATAGCAAACTCATATTGATTCACTCGTAATTCAAGTTTAGAAATAACCCTATACAAAATAATAAATTACTGTTTTGGTCGTTTAAATGATTATGGAAAGATATTATGAATTAAACTCAGAAGATTTATTGAATTTGTTGAATGAAGATGAGGATGATTGGCAATCAAATTAAGAATAGGAGCGTTCGTTTAAAGATTAATTGTATTAATAGACAATAAAAGAGTTTTTGGAATTTTTAGAAAAAGTTTTGGCTAAAATTAATTAGTAAAAAATCTAAAATTAATTTCTATCATTAAGTTCAGAATAAATAATAGTTATATTATAAGATGTATGTAAGTATTGGATTATAAAAAGATTGAAAAAGAGATATCATAAAATGAAATCCTGATATTTTAAAGTTTGTTTTAAAATTTTATTAATGAGAAGTACTCTGAGAATGACATAGTCTTAATGTACATAAAATTAGTTTAAATAAGTGAAGAATTATAAGATATTAATATAGATTGAATTATAGTAACAAATTTATTTAAGTGAATCTTCGTATTTATGATATCTTAAAAATTTAAAATTTATTTTATAGACCAAAAATATTGACCATTAATTAGAAAAAGGATTTTCATTTAAGTCTTTTAAAGGAAGTTAAAATGTTGATTTTGATATTATTCTCTTCTTTCATTATCAAAATAACGATGAAATAATGCTTAGGTTATATAATTAATTCTTAAAAATAACAGAATCTCTGCAATACCTTATGAATTCCACTTTTTGCAACGTAAATTCCTGTTATTCATTTTGATTCAATAATATATTGAGAGATTAGGAATGTTAAGATGTATTTTAAGAAAACAATCTTACAGATCCTTTGACTTTTTTGCCATTACAGGATGATACAGTTATATTGCTTCAATAAACATTTTCCTTAAAAGAATAAATGGATAGAAAATGATTTTTATTTAGATTATGAATATTTTCACTGATTCCATGTATTTATTTTTTAATTTCCATATCTTTTCAGAATATATAATCAATACCTCTCTAAATTATATTAACAAGCATTTTTCGCATATTTATAATAAAATTATCTTTGTGCAAGAATTATAATCAGTAATTGGCTATGAGTTTGTTGTTATAAGGTTAGAGGAAGATGTTAGGGGATAATAAATTAGGAAAGTAAAGATATATATTGAGAAAATCAATCGTAATATTCTTCGGTAGGTTAATTAGTATCAGGGTTTTAATCAATTAGTAATTTTTTTAATAGGAGAAACAAAATTAGATTATATAGATTATCTATGAAATATTAACAAAGTTTAGTAATTGGTTTTAAACATTTATGGTTATTGGATATCATTAAAGAGGGCTTTTAAGAAAATAAATTTATTGGTTTCTTATTAATGAGATGAATGATGGCTTAATCTTAAATAAATGAGTCCATTTTTTGGCTATGACTTAGTTGTAATGAAGAAACGAAATTTGGGTTTTATTAAATTTAAATTATGTTTATAGGTGGTTTTTGATCTGATGTCTTCTCACTCATTATCCATAATTCCAGTGATGAAATCATATTAAGACTTAATCTACAAAATTGATTAAAGTGATTATTTCATGAAAATTATTATAATTAATTCTCATTAAATAAAATATAAGGTTGACATCACTTATAAATGAATTTCACTTTTATGATAGATAATTGTTTATCTTCTTGTTAAATAACTTATAATGGACTCACTATATTAGATTATGCCAAGAGTGCAATAGAATATTTTGTAAAAAAGAGAACAAAGAATTCAGAAAATAAGTATGATTAATACCATCTTTTTTCGTCAAAGTAATTTTTTGTTTCTTACATATTGTCTATAGTTCTTCAATCTCAACATGGACAAATGATGTATGCCATTTTTTACAAAAACTTAAAACCATTCAACCATAGTTCGAAACTAACTTCAATCTGGATGAGTGTTTCCACAATTTAAACAAATTTAGAACTTTAAATGGTTATTTATATATATAATTAAATACAGGCACTGATAATCTTTATGGAGGAAGAGATGTCTTGAAAATTGAATCAGCCATCATATTTGTTTTCACTAACAGAGAATACGTTGGACCTGCTTTCCATTAGTTGATAAGGTGGGACTATAGACTTCTTGCATTTTTGTTACAACCTCCTGGAATCGAGGAAACCAACCCCATTTCTATTTCAACTAACTGGCATCACCTTGCTTCAACTGTAGGTTAAGGAGTGTGTTTCGAAATTCAAGATTATAATATTTTATTTTAAATCTTAGATGATCCAAAATTAACCCCACCTTAAATATCTCTTCAATTAAATCTTTTAGATTAATAAAATAAAAATGATGAAATTTAATCAATCTTTGAAAAAACAAAGATTGAGTAATAATCAAGTCAGCCTTCTTATTTGGTGAGATCTCCTCAAAAACCAAATTAATCTTTTGCTTCTATCCGTTTAAAATGTTAACCAAATATGACAATATTCACAAAAGTATATTTACCTGAATAATTTCCATTTTTGGATTTTTATGTATAAAATTTAATTTATCAAATAGAATTATCCAGCCTACCCTGACTATTATGTTGATTTTAATGTATCCTTTAAAGCAAAATTACCTCAATAATTGCCTTATCAAGAAATATTCATAGAAAATGCTTTATTGTTGAAATTTATACAGGGTATATCTACAACAAAAGGGAAAATATTATAATTTCCAATATTTTGTTATGAAAAAAGGGAAGAACAAAAAGTATAATATTTAGTTGGTTTGTTTTTATTTTAACAGAATTCAGTCACAATGGAATTACGATTGTATTATTTCTATAATTGAATATCTTAGTTACTTCCCTAACTTCTTAAATTACTATGAACTCCTCATGTAATGTGGTAATTCTACAGATGAAACAAGAAGATTTGCAGATTAAAAATTTTTGCAATATCTTTCTACGATTCCAAATTATTATGCTCCATGCATCAGAAAGAATCAAAGTGAATTAAACATTTAAGTAAATAGATTTAAAATTCTTTAGATTCAAAGATAATTGATATTTTTGATAGATGAACAAAGTTAATAATTGTATATGTAGAAAGTGAAGACTCATTAGGCCAAAATTCAAAAGGTTAAAAAATAAGTGGATGATGAAAATTATAAGAATAGACAATTACATATCTCAAGAAAGTGCTAATGTTGTGCAGCATTCAGCGAAAATTATTAAATCAGATTTCAAGATTAGATGAATTGTGAATTCAGATAAATAATATAATTCTAAAAGGATTACAACTTTTACAGATTTGTCCCGCAATAAGAAGTATAATCCTGCTTGCCTTAAATGCCTATTATCTCGCCAACTCTGCGAAATATATATTTGGACTCTGATGAGATGGAGATTAGATTAGAACCTCAATTTTGTGGAAATCCATGGAAATTACAAAGGAAAACCTATAGGGATGGAGTAGAAATAAAAGTTTATTATTATAATTAAAAATTAGAATGACTAGGAAGATATACAATTAGAAGATATGATGCTAACCAAAATGGATTCTGAAAAGAGATCATAAACTAAAAACAGAAGAAAAGGATTTATGAGGTTGAAGGATATTCAAAATTGTAATCATAAATAAGTTAACATTGAATAATAAGAAATGGAAATAGAAGAAAATCAAACTGAATCATAATCATAAGGCAAATAAGGTTCAGTCAAATTCAATCCTCTTTTTTAAGTAATTATTTCTTACATATAGGCTAAATTTAAATTGATTGTCTTAACTAAATTGAATAATTCTGTATCCACAAACAATTGAAACACAAAAGTAAAAAAAATTATTATGCTTGTCTTTTAGTAGCTTTTTGTAAATAAAAGCATTGTTTTTTTAACTTAAAATTTTGCTTTAATTTTTTTTGTTTTTTTGATAATTTAAATTATTGATGTTTACAAATACACTCGGAGCATAAAATGGATTGCCATAACAATAATAATAAGGTTTGGCAGGACAGAGTGCTTTAGTTTTCGGTAATTCTGGTGTTTCCAACAATATTTTTGGGTAAACACAACAAATGACTGCACCAATAGGATAAGCCTAAAATTAAGGAGTTTTTGGATAATAACCAAATTAACTCAATTAACCTCTATTATATGGAGGATAACCATAATAACCAACAAATTTATTATAATAACCTTAAGGGTAGTAAATGGGCACTTTAGGTCAATAGACCGCATAATTTGGATAAGTATAATAATCAGGATTTCTTGGATAGCAATCAACATTACAAGGAGGATAGATGGGATAAATGTAATAACAACAATAACTTTAGTCATAATAGCCATAATAATAATAATAACAATAATAATAATAATAATAACAATAGAATAAACATTATACCATTTAACAAATTAAAAATGAGACTTAAAAACATATTGATAACCTTACAAAAACTATCATAAATAAAGAGAAAATTGAAAAAAATTAAAAAAATTTATAGCTAATCGAAAAAAATTCTCTTAGGAATATTTAGTAATAATAACAATAATAACCTCAGGTAAATCCATCAATTGGATATGGAATACCACAATAATAAATATAAAGACCAATCCAAAAGGTTGATCCTCGAAATCATACAGCTAAAGTTGAAAAATATTATGGAGAATGGAATAAGACAATTTCAAGGATTTCTCAAAAACAAGGAGAAACTATTAATCAATTGAACGAGTTAAATATTCTTCTATCCCAATAAGACACATATTATGGTATTGTAATGTTCTCATTAAATTAGATATAGATGAAGAGTCATTGATAGATTCAATAAAATAATTGGGAAAAGAACTTAATTCATTGGAATACAAGATTGTAGATGTTGTAAAATTGTAGGAGAAAATATTAGGCCTAGAAAAAGAGGAATCTGAATGGGATTAAATTGTTGGCAATTTAAGCGAATGTCTCACTCTTTTAGAAATTCAAACTGTAATACAGTATTCATTAAATTATCTAGAAAGAAGTTGAAGATCAATTGCACCAAGCAGAGACTCATCCAAAAGTATTAAACAAATGAAATGAATTTTACTCATAAATATTTCAAATAATCGAATTAATTAATTATATTTATGAATACAATTGTTCTTAAATTATTTCGCTTGGCAAAGATGGGATAGAAGGAAGAATTCTTATCCTTAGTGTAAAATAAAGGGATTATGAACAAATTATAATATCTAAATGGAAAGGAATTGTCTATGATAATATATGGCTATTAAAAATTGAATTTGATGAGTCAAGAAACTCAGCAAGAATTTGAATAGTTATACTTAAATAGCATTAAAAAGCTTAATGTACATGATCATGTGATGTGTGGATGGTCTCTAAAGAATACTTAGAACAAAGCAGTATAAAATGCATTAATTTAATCATTTCATTCAAATTGGGAAAAGATTAGGCATATGCAATAAACAAAGGCCAACATAGGCTTAATTGCTTATTTATCTGCTAATGAAAAAAACCCTGAGGATCCCATATGGAAATAAATAGAAGATCTTTTTTATGAAACAATGGAATTTTAGGATTAAAAAAACTTCATGATTATCCTCTATGCATTCTCTAAAGTATAACCAAAGAGTGATTCTATTTGGATTACACTTGAGAAATATATTTGGGGTCAAGGATTTGATTAATTCTCTAGAAGAAACCAAGTTCTTATGGTCTACTCATTTGCTAAAGTTGGAAAGGGCTCGATGTAATTTTGGGAAGTAGCGACAAAGTAAATCCAAAACCTTAAGTTTAAATATTCAGACGATATTTCATTTTGTATTTGGGCCTTCGCTAAAATGAACATTACTAATTTATAGTTTTGGGAGAAGATGATCAATAAGTAGCTTTAGATTTGGGATAAAGTAACTTTAGCAGATATTGAAAATACAACATGGGCGTTAGAAAAGGTTTAATTAATTAAATCTGATTTTTGGAATTAAATTTTATAAAAATAAATTTCAGAACATCAATCTATTTCTTTGAAGTATAATGAATTTGATGAAGTTCTAACAATTGGTAAGAGATTATATAATTTGAAAATGACTGAAAATCCGTTATTTTTATCTCTGCAAAAGAAAATTACTTAAATGTTGGCTGACAATAAAGTCAACTTTTCTTCTTTGCATAGACTCCATTTTTTGGCAGTTTTTATTGAAAAAGACAATTCCATATATAATGAGAAATTAATCTAATAATTGATTAATAGTATAAGTCAAAATTAATCATATAATTCTAATTTAAATTTGTTAAATAGTTTAACTTTGCTTTTGTAGGATTAAACCTTAGCTAAATTTAATTTAAATAATAAATTCACAGATATCATCAATAAGTGTTTTACCAATATGTAATTCCTTGACATTAAATCAACTATTGATTAAGAAAAATATTTTTGGGTTGGATCTTATTTGCTTGAATATTAAGAGAATGAGATTTTGCCATTATTGACGTCTGAGTAAATATATGAAAAAGTAGAGAATAATATTTCTCATTTATGCAGTTTGATAAAGATTTTATCTAAGCATGATAATGCTGCACCTTTTTTTAATCGATTAAGAACATATGAGAACCCAAAACCTGATGTTTTTGTAAGTTTATTTTACAATATGGTCCATAAATATGGTTACCTAATACCTTAAGAAAAATATAAGAAACTGAGAAACATGTTAAAATCAATTAGTCAAACAAAAGATAAAATGGAAATTTAGAATAAATTTATCGATTACATTTTAATTAAGAATGATAATATCATTGAAGAAATCAATGCTTTATTAAAAATATAGATACAAGATTATGTAAAATAATATCAGAATGACATTGAAGTAAATATTCAATCAGATTATAAATTAGGTAGATTTGTAGAAAATATTACAAGAACAAGTGAGTAAATAACGATTAGAATTCTAATAATAGATTGATTTAAAAAATCATTAGTTTATAGACATTGTAAATTTCGATATCCAAGGTTAAATCGAGGATGATACATAATAATGATAGATAATTCTTTATAAATGTTTTTAATCATTAAATAATTGGGTTAATATAATTTAGTATATTTGGTAATAGTGTAAATTACTGTTCGTAACAAAGTATTTATTTAATTTCACTATAATTACATGATATGATTTTATTTTTTGAATTTCCTTAATGAATCAACTGACTTAAGATACTATTTCTTAAATTATTATTACTATATATATTTTTTTAATCAAGCAATTTTGAAATTTGATATCTCTGGTTAAACAATTACCTGAAAAGGGATTAAGTAAAACTATTATAAGACCTTCTTTGGAGGAATTGTGTCCATCATCGTTTTCATAATAATGATTATGTACTTCTCCTTTGGAATCAAATTGTTTTCCAATAAGGAAACTCTAGTAACCACTGTTCTTACTGATTTCAAGGAAATTTCATCTTAGTCGATCATAGATGATTAAACCTTTGTATTTGCTATTAAATTAGATAAAGAGAACTTTTTTGTCGAAACCATTTTTTGACATTGAGGAGAAATATATTCCAATTCCATAAAAAATCTTAATCTAAAAGCTGATTCATCCTTATATGAACGTATTTATAGTTCATAATAATTAATTATAATGATTTAAACAATATAAAGTAAATTTCTTCTAATCAGATCATTTAGGCGCATGACAAAGTGTTAAATGGTTTAACTGCGAGCAGTACATAAATAATTTGTTAATCAATTAATTTGGAGCAAAAGTCTACACTATTTTTAAACTTTCTAAACTTATAGACTTCTCTGGATCTTTTTCTAGGGCCCTTGAACCTTAATAACCAAACATTTTATTTAGTTTTTTGTATTCATTTGCTTTTAAGTAAATCTTAGAAGTGCAAACAAATTTTTATTAAGTATGCTATTCTCTGGGATTTAAAAATAATTTATAATAAATTGATAAATGAAAATTCATTTATTGGAAAATTAATCATAATTTTAATTATCGTTATCCAATATGTTTGCAATTATAATAAAATTAATCTCTTAATAATTTCAAATCTTTATTAAGCATTATCTAACAATTAACTTTGAATGATAATATGAATGAAAAATATATGATATAAACTCAACTCAAATCAAATCCTGAACCAGATTCCTTTAATGATTTCAATAGCTTTTCTCTAACCATTTCTTTTGATTTATATTCTGGCAAATCAATTCGATTAAAACTAATAAATTAAAATAATTTCGTTACCATGCATGGGCTTTAATAAAATGTTCTGAATTGAAATCTTTGGATATTGAAAACTTTTTCGGTCCATTTGGTCCTCTTAAATTTTTAAAACCTCCGAATGGAACTAAAGGACTTCCCGTTGAGAACATTAAGAAATCAGATTTTTCAGAATCACTTAAAGTCTTTAATACTTCCCAAAACCACAAAACAGTCTAATTATTTTTGTCATAATTCACATATTCTGTATTCGCTTGAAGGTCATCAACTAAATTATATTTTACAAATTCTTACCATCAACTGATGGCACTCCAATAATTAATTTTTGCAAATCTCTCCAGTCCATATAAGAAAAATATTCTTTAGGTACAATATCAAAGAATCCATCTCTTATTGCTAGGATCTACTCTTTAATCTCCTCAATCATTAATTTTTTGCTTATAACTTCACAGATAAGTCTTTTATGTTTCACAGTAACATTAGATGATAATTATAAGAATACATCTTATAATTTAATTTATTTAAGAGCTTCATCACTTAGTTATTTTCTTTTATTCTTTCTTATTAATCTTTTCTTTTCTCTATTTTCCATATCTTCAGCTGTTATATCTTCTGACTGTTTTTTTTATTTAGGTTCTTCTTATTCTTACTGCTTTTATTTAAAATATTGCATCAGATCTTATTTAAAAGGAACTGCTTAATTTTATTTTTCTTATTATAATTGTTCTTCTTATTATTATTATTATTACTATTATTATTATTACTATTATTATTATTATTATTATTACTACTATTATTAATCTTATAATTTCTGTTATTCATTTAGTTAATCTTATTTAGGTTCGATTGGATTCTTTTCTATATATTCTTATAGAAGATCTGTAAAGATATATTTTTTGTTTTATTCAATTAATTATGCATATTCTTCAGGAATCCAAAACTCAAATAAATCCTTATACTAAACTTGTGTCTCATCATTCATAAATTTAATAAAAGTGTCATAATATCCTTCATTGTAATGTTCCAAATCATCAAAACTTGGTTTTTTTTGAAGTATCATCTTAAATATAGTTGGAATAAAATAAACTGGTAGCAATAATCCATCATAAATACTTTTTGCTACTATTCTACCCAATAGTTTATAATGATTCTTATCTTCAGTAGACTTTTTATTAGAATTTATTTTATAAAATCTCTTTGTAGTCAATTCAAATTTATCTGTTTATAATATATCTTTGACAAGATTGGTCATCCATTCTTTCCTGATTCCTCCTTCATCTTATCCTCTTTCCCCTTGATATCTAATTTTAATTTCACTTTTTCTAAATTTATTTTTTTCAACTTACAATACCTTTTCTAAGGATTGTTACAATCTTGTTTCTCTTACGACATTAAATTCAATGGTTTCACTTTGTCTTCCTCTTGATCTTTAATTGGGTTTGTCATTAATTTTTAAGGTTTCCAAATCCATTTCAAAGAAATGTTTCTTATTTTCAAAAGAAACGATTTAGCTCATTTTAAAAAATACAAAGCCCAATGGGTCTGCTTCCTTAAATAATTTAATAGGATTCAATGAATGACTTTATTTTAAATCATAAGTGATTTGTTATAACCTCTGATTGATCAAATAATTGATAATCCTCTTGCCATTAATGCATAAATAAGTGAATAGTTCATCTATTTTCATCTACATTTCATTCTCATTTCTTACTGATGAAAATGATCTCTTTAAATGCATTGTTTATGTTTATAATAAACCAAATTAAAGCGAATTAGTTGCTGAACCACTTAAATTTCTCTCAAAAAAGTTTGTTTCTGCATTAGTTTTCTCAGAATGCTCTTAGGAATTTAACTCTTCATGAACATTTTGATATAGCCTTATGAAACATTCCAAAAGAGGATAGAGTTTCTTTTATAATATTTCTAATGATCTCGACCCTTTATAATTAAAAATCAATAGTAATGTTTCCACAACATTCAGCCATAAATGATGGGTTTATCTAGTTTATAGAACATTAATAAATCTAGCTCTGATGTCCTTTTTTGCTGAGGTGTCAAAATCGCTTGAGGCATCAACGCTTTTGCCCTACTGAGTTAATTTATATTTCTTTTTATCCATTTAAATTTATTATCTAGTTTGTGTAGAACTTGGTTTATTAACTTATTTATTTTGCTAATCAGTCAATGTTAGATTGAGATTGAGGAATCCTGTTATTGCAACAAAACACCTTTGTATGATACTTGGATCTGGGATTTTCTAGTTTAACTCTTTAATAATATCATTTTCTTAATTATTTAAAAATTATGCTTATTCAGGATCATAATCCTAAATTTTTTCTCTTTGTTTTGTAATTTCTCTTAACTGTTTTCTTTTTTTGTCTAATTCAAAATTGAAAATTTTAGATTGTTAAATGATATATTTGGTTAATTCATTTATGGCATGCTCAATTTTTAATTTATCATTAGCATAAGAATTTAGAATATTAATGATTTCATTGGAATTTCCTTCTCTTAAGAGCGGATTATTTAAATTTTTGCATAGAGAGGAGATGATATCAATCTCAACATGAGAAATTTTGGCACTGACTTTTCTTTCTCTTTTTGGTATTTAAGAATTTAATTCATTTTGATCTATTTCTTCATTTTTGGATTATTATTATTATTATTATTATTATTATTATTATTATTATTACTATTATTATTATTATTACTGTTATTATTACTATTATTTTTCATCAGCTATCTTGAATTAATTCGTTTATTATCCCTATTATGGAGGCTATCGAAGTTATTAAAACTATTGTAATTACTAATGCTGTTGTAAGATTGACATCGAAGAAATAGGAAATGGAGGAATAATTTATCTTGGTTAAGGAGCCTAAGGGGGTTACATTTAGATGATTGATGCATTTGATACTTATCTGAACTATGATTACTAATCAATTTATCTAAACTAAAGTGATTTAAATGTAAAGGATGTCTAGTCCCAAGTATCTTATGATTCCTGGTTTTTATCCCCAAATGACTTGAAGATTAAATCGTGAAACTATATATCCTCATTTCTGTTTAGTTAGGAGAATAAATCAAATATTTTGCTTTCATCTATTCCGCCATTGTAAATAGCTGCTTATCTCCTCATCATTTTATACAGATTCTCGTCATCAGCCTTCTTCCCTTTTTCCTTTTCTTCTGTTGTGATCATTAGGGATCCTCGTATAATCTAAATTAAGTAAGATAGATGCAAGTTAGTTTGATTAGCTAAGAGAGGAGTTAACAGGATATCTAAAAATAATAAATATTTTTATACTTTTCTCGATTGGTATGTGGGATTCAGGACTATGAAACAGGGTCATAAATGAAATATTCTTCTCGCAATATATATTTATTTGGTTAATCAAAAAGACCAAGGGATTTTCAAGATCATCATCTTATGACTACTCATCTATATTTTCTTCTTCTATTATAAATTGTTCTTTAATTTATTATCCCTTAGCTAAATTAGCCTTTTCTCTCTTATTAAGTATTGGACTGATTTGTAATTGTTCAGAAAGTAGATCTCTTAAATTATTGGATGGAATTTTCTAACTCACTAAGTACAAAATTTTAAGAGTAAGTTCTAGGTTGTTTTTCTATTCTTAATATAAAATGAGTAATTGAATAAGTAGTTTGAATCCCAAACGAGAACACTTGCTAATCTAACGTAATAGATTAAATGGAAATTATATAAAACTATTTTAATCCACCAACAGAGACATCAACATCTCTAATAATATATTGTCTGTAATTTGAAGCTGCTACTCATTTGGGATAATCAAAACTCTCTTTGGAATATCTATTAATTTTCCTTTTAAGTTGGTGTTTTCCTCAGGATGTAATAGACTTTATAATTTGGCTTTTAGCAATCCTTAATCATGTAAATCATTTGGCATTCCATTCAAAACTACTCTGCTTTGTAAAACATTGCAAGAGATTTAGGTTAAGATTCTTTATTATTATAAAGATGGTTCATTGATATTGACTGATAAGGAGTTTGCTTAGTAATCTTGCTAAAGTTGGTTAGGTGCTTGACCAAATTTGGAATAGAAGCATGAATTTCCAGATTGGATTTGCAAATAACTTAATGATCCATTTAAATAATAGGATAAATATTGTTGTAATTATTCAACTTATTTGGAGGCTTATGTGTGAAGCAATCTATTTATAGCTTGAATATATTCAACAATGTGCTTTAATTGAGTTTCATAAGCTTTGGAGATTAATTATTTTTTATTCTCGAAATACTCATTGGAACTGAAATAAAGACCAACAATAGATGTGATCCAAGTTTTGTAATCACTTTATTGATAGACTATATTTTTGGTTGTAATTTAAAAGTTTGGTAAAGGGAAATTATAGAATTTTTGATCTAGACTACAAAAGAGTATGTTTAAGTCTTTTTATGGAAAGATACTCTGTTGATTTTCTTTGTGAGGTTTCTCTTCTTCTCTATTTACACTGCACTTGTTCATAAAATCACTATCGTAGGAATAATACTCACCCCAGGAGTTAATATTTGAGTAATTTGCTTTATATTTGATTTGAGTGTTCTCTATTTATACAATATCCTAATCTGAATCAGAATCACTCAGGTCTTCATCTTACTGTTTCTGATTATTGTGTCTCTGATTATTGAAATTTCTTCTGGATTAATATAAAGGCCAAACAATTTCCTATTGGTGTTCATCCTTCAGGGTTTGTTAGACTAATGGATGGGATACAAAATGCTAAGCTGAACCTGGAGTACTTTTAAAACCAGGGTATAATTGATAGGAAATCAATTAATTCCTTAGACAATTGAGATAATGAAATTAGAAGGAATTTTCAGTAATATTTTGTTGTAATCTAAATATATCTCCATATCTGCCTTATTTGAGGTGCTCAAAATAGACCTGAGATTACAAGAATGGTTCCAATACTTTGGCAATGGTCTATTGATATAATTTGACAAATTGTTTATTTTCACATTCTCTAACACTATTTAATGTACTGATAATCTTAGGGACAATATTCAATTGTGATCTTTAATCAGTCAAAATTAATAAACAATTTTGAAGGGTCAAGGTTTATGTAAAAAGTACGAGCAATTACAAAATATGATAATATTTCATTAAAATATTATTGTGATCAATTTTCAATTCATTCAATAATAATTAGAGTACTTCTTAGCCCAAAGTTATGCCATAACCAACTGAGAGCAGATTGATATCACTCAAATAATTATGCATAAAATTGGACAGTTTATCTATTCCTACCCATGTCATATATTTAATTACGAATTCCAAGAAGGTAACCTATCTCTCTTCAGTATTAATTTGAATAGGCAATTATACTTTCAATTGTCTTAAATACAATATCAATTAAGGAATCTTAATTATAAGCATCTCAATTATTCTCAATAATTGATCCCATCCATACAAGTAAGCTCTTTTTTCATCTTTGTATTTGGTTAATTTGATATTGAACACTTTTTCAACAAAGTTCTCTTCAAAAAATCTGTCAACTATAGTTTAGGCTATAATATTTATCAAATTTATTATATTGGAGTTTAACTACGGTTCTATGACATGATCTACTTCATATCTGATTACTATATCAGTTTATGTTTGTTGCAGAAATTCTTTCTCCTTTTCCTTTAAATGTTTTTCTTATTCCTTAGTCAACTTCCCAGTCATTTGCAAAGAGGATTATTTAGCTGCATGAACTCTTGATAACTCACAAAACTTATCAGTAATTGAAAGTCCTTGTTATTCAATAATGGTGTTATAAACTATTGGATTATTAACTAAAACAGGATGGAACTATAGCAGATATTGTAATGGACATTCAATATACTTTTGGGGCATCTAAACTTAGTTTAATTCATCTAGGCTCTTAATTTATTAAGCATGCCAATCAATATGTTCATTTAGCATAACTTATTTTAAAATCAGTAATGTTAGATCATTTGCTGTTCTGTTGTCTAAGGCAATCAAATATAATAGGTTTTCTAAAAATACTGGTTATGATTCTTCGTGTTCACTATTATTTGATTAAATTTTGAAATGCAATAAAACATCCAACAATGATTAATTATCTTGTTTTTACTTCTACATAAGAATTTGATATAATTTGTTTTGATTATGCAATCCAAAATTGTTTAAGCATTAAAGCAGCTAAGTGATTACTGATTTATCATAAATAAATCTTCTCTAGATCAATTAATATAAGTGACCGTCATTTTGAGTAGTGTCTCCCTAGTCTTTTAAAGTTTAATCGTTTTTTATGAAAGTATCTAAATCTGTGAGTAGGTTATAAGCATTGTTGGACTCTTCTTAGAGATGCAGATTAACTGTGCATAATTAAGTTAAGAATTAGACATATATTTCAATCTAATTCCAATATCTTTCTATTAATTGATCATGCTTGTTTTATAAATTCATTACAAACTTTGTTAAGTATTTCTATGCTTCTTATAGTTCTTTGCAAAATAATCTCAAAGTACTATATTTATTCTCATAAAAAACATTCAGGTCGTTTGTTATTTATTAGGCTCTTTTACAAATTTCAACAGAGCTTAATTCCTTAACATTTATCAATTTTAATTGTTCATATTCATTTTAACTGAAGATTGTAAATTGATCATTTATTTCCTAAAGCAAAGCAAATCCAAACTTAATCATTTCTTAAAATGATAATACAAATTTTAAATCTTTTTAAGGTTCCAAATCAATGAGAGCAACATTTTAATATATTTTCTCATGCTCCTATTAAGATATTTATTACAAGAGTGCTAACCATTATAATGCATTATAAAACAAGTTCATTTTTTAATTTAAATCTTATGTCTATTACAATTATCTCATAGCTTATAGTGATAAAAAGATAAAATCCAATATTTTTTAAATGTGCTATTATTTTTTAGCAATTGTGAATAAATATTCTAATTGAGTATTATTAGGTCTTTAATTAGTTAGTTATTAATCTAAAAGTGAGTTTATCGTTTCATCTAATTTCTATTAGAAGTTATTTATCAACTAAGAAATTCTATCTTATATTGATAATTATGGATCATATAAGGGGAAATTTTCATTTAATATCTTCAAAAAGGTTTCACTCTCAATTACAGTCATATTCTTTTAGTTTTATTCTTATTCAGGTTAATTTTTGACTTCATTTTAGATCTATTAATTGACTACTTAAGTCTCTGGATTATCATTTTTCAATTCTGATTCGAAGAGTAGATCATCTAAATCATCCTCATCGTCAGATATCCTTCCATTAAATATCATATCTACAATCATAGATGGCTCTGGAATTTCCACTCTTTGAATGGCTTTCTTAGCTAATTTCTAATTAATACCCATTTCACATATTTTATCCAAAATCAATTTGATTTCTGGTCTATCAAATATTGACTTCTTCTATTCCTTTACTTCATTACCTTATAAGAGTTGAATCAATTCTTTTTAAGCAAGTACTTGATCTTTCTATTCTTAGCCACCTACTTTACGAAAGTCTTAGATTTAAGTGTCTTTCATTAAGTAAAATCTTTGGATAAGTTGTTCAAATAAATTCTTTAATGGGCCTTCACAATTGCTCTAAAGTAGAATATCAATCATCTATCTTAGCAAATGAGTTTAAGACAGTATTAATTCATTAGATACTTACTCTAACTATTATGGATCAATAATGCAATGATCGGACAATTAAATTTTATCCAAAAGCATTTTTCTGAATATTGATTGTTTGATGATATTATCGATGTGTAAATTAAGAGCTTCAATAAAACTAGGTAGAATCTTCTTAACAATCTCTTGTTCTTTAGTATTATTTTATGGTAATTTCTAGATACCATCTAAATACTTCATCATTTAAATTATATCTAAATAGAAAGACTTATTTTGATAGCAAATGAAAGTAAATGATATAGGCTGATTTTATTGCTCCAAATTTTGAAATAGATTCAAAAAGAACTTAAATGATTTAAGGATATCTTGCATATAAGTAACATGTGAAATTAGTTTTAAGCCTTAAGATTCTCTAATTTATTGATATTTTTCATTGAAATTAACAAAGAATAACTGGGTTATCTCTCCATACTTTTTGATTAGAAATTCCTTTTGTTCTGCAGTTGCCTGTTACTATAATTTATTTATTAAATCCAAACATGACTCTTGAAGTGGTATTAAGTTATCTTTGCTTATTCTCCTTCTTATTTGAGTATCTTCATCAAAACTACTCTAAAATTTTGAAATCTGAGATTTTGCTGCCATAAACATCATGATGGATTCATGAAACCCAGCATGTTGTGATGACAAGAAATATATTTGCAATAATTGAGGGATTAACAAATTGATATCCTAATGCTATATTCCTCCTTGACTTACACAAATCTTGATCAAATAATGTATAAGATGGAAGCGACTCAAAATATAAAAGCCTCTATAAGTTTAAGGTGATATATGCTTGATGATCTTTCTAAAGAAGTATTTATAAGTCATATGAACTGATAAGGCATCATAATCGACTAATTTTCCTATGTCTATGATTTTTTGATCTCCAATAATCATGTAATTCTATGATATCAGATCCAATTCTTTCCATAAGGAAGTAAAGGGATTCAATTTATTTTTTTTGCATAAGATTCCAACATAATGTTCCACATACTTGTCTTTGTTCTTACTTCCAATAAGAATTGGACTCATTATAATCTTCTCCAAGGCTTCAACAAACTTTTAGTTTTTTAACAATGAATTGAACAAGTGGTCTTTTTGTCTTTAAGCCTCTTCCAGTTATAATTCTTCATATCCTTAGAATTATCGATATGAGGATGATTTCTTCTCTGGCTGTAATTGCATAAACAATTACAACAGAGCTTGGAGACTCTTAGAATATCCATAAAATGATGATAACTTTTCTTGATTGCTCACAATATCTTCAATTTTATCTTTGCTCAAATCAACCAATTGGGATATTGATACAAATGTATTTTCGATCACTTTTTCAATTTGCTTTTTGGCCAATAAACTTTGACTATACAACATAATGATCTTTTTAGCAAAGTCCTCGCTCACTGTTGGGTCATGTAGAAGTTCTATTGATGGCAAATAACATTTGTCAAATATTTATTTGATTAGATTATCTTGTTTTTATTGATCTTTTTCATTATTTGATGATAACGCCAATGAAATAGCTTATTCATTCGTACTGATAGCAATCAACAAATTAATTATGGTTACAATCAAATGAGATCCTCGTGAACATATCTTCAAAAGCTCCATTATTTTTTAAACTAAACATTATAAACTGTTATTTTCATAGAATTCTCTGACTCTGCCCGGATTCTCTCCCATGTTCATAGCTAACAATGTTATCAAATATGTGTATAATTATTCGTTTAGCTATGATTTAAGCAATGTGTCTTCCAATATTTTATTTGACCATATATCTGATAACAATTTATGATATCTTTCAGGAACAGGCATCATGAATTCTGATTGAGCATTTTAGATTTAGACTTAATCAAATTCTTATTTATAATAAGCAATTAGTTGATTCAGTAATTGAAAACCACGAATTTAGAGTTGGATTTAATGTCCTCCACAGCAATTCTTTAGGATATCCAGTAATCCTTGGATGATTTAGGTTTCTAATTAATATTCTAATTATTAATTTTGATTGTTTCCAGGAAGTTCAATTATCAAATTCACAGAATAAGTCAATAACGGATTCAAAATATAATAGGGTAATTTAGTTGAACCATCTTCTAAAGATGATTTCTTAATGATTTGAACTATCATGGAATTCCATTGTTAATAATTTGGTTGTTTCTTGAAGAGTTAAGTAAACTACTAATCTAACAATTGTTGAAAGAATATCTATTAAAATTTAGAACTTAAAGACAATTTAATTTCATAGAAACTCCCCTCTGCAACTTGTAGTTCTTGTTTCCATTCCATCAAGGAGTCTTGAATTCCTTAAAGCTCAAATAGCCATAACTTTTCTAAAAATGTATTATGTTCAAATAGCTGTATTTATTTGGATTTGATAAATTGAAGACTTTACACCATAATATCATTTAGAGATTCATCCTTATTGATAGTTATCATTCTTATTAATAAAAATAGGTAATCTTTTTAATCTATTAATCTATTTGTGATGTCTAACATTAATTTATTGTTGATTAATTGAAGATCTTGGAAGGCACATCTGAAATGAAAGATATAATTGCTGATAAACATTTTCTAGATTAATAGTTCGTTGCCAGAATAATGACATAACAATCGAATGAAGACTTAATCAAAAAGTATAATATCTTTTTAAAGGTTATTCTCCTTAATTATTTAAAGGGATTGCTCATAAGGGTTTTTAGTGGAATCAAATTATACTTCGCGAGTAGTAGGTGGACATTTTAATATTTTTCGAAGATTATTCATTTCTAAATATCTTGAATAATTTATCATGTCATCAGAAGGGAAGGTGAACTTCAAAATGCAATGATCCATTTAGAGTTGGAACAATTCTGTTTAATCTTAATCGCTGAGATTAAAGATGCTCTTTTAGAAGAATGCGTTGATGTACATGAATCTTAATAACACTTTGTCGAAAAATTCAACTAAAGGATTTATGTAGACTTATACTTTTAAATTTGCATGCTTTAGAGGTATTCATGGATTCTAAGAGGAATTACATACACTCGACAATTTTGTAAATCTTAGATAAATCGTAATCAGGGTTGTGAAATATCAAAGTAACCAGATGTTCATAACTGAATATCATATCGACTTTCTATCAAACATAGATGAATACCTATTTTTGGATTCCCGCAAGTCCTAATGAAATCACAACACAATAAACACAAATTCCAAATTTAAATAGAATCACATTCTCCAAGCAATTCAATACATGGATTTTAATTTTATTCCTAGAATAAAGCAACTCCTGCTTCCAATATCTTGTCAATGGTTTCACTTATAATGCGTAAATATTTAGGATCTTGCAATTATTTGCATTTGGCAAACTCTGAAATTCTTTCTATTAAGGGTTTGCTAGTATTTTCAATCCAACTGTAGTCCTCAGTGTCATTTTGTTTTAGTTTCTTAAATCGCTTCTCCATGCTTTCGTAATAAGCCTAGGGTATTCGCATCTTTAATTAAATTAATAAAATATGTTTTAATATAGGTAAGGTTATTTTTACTCAAAAATTTGCATCTTTATATTGGGCACGATAATCATAACATTAGAGTATGCTTATGATTATAAAAATTATGTAAAGACAAAGAAAAAGACACTAATGTATTTCTTAAAGTATTGTTGATTAAATATTAATTTAAGAGAGCTTTAGAATAAATGTTCAATTGTGATTTAATTGAACTTGAAAATGTGTAATTTATTATGAAATCAAATATCTTATTCGATAAGTTCATCATTAGTTCCTTCTTCTTATTATTCCTTTTTGAAACAATTCTCTTATTCTATCGATTGTATAATTTAATTGATGTTTTCCATTGCCTATTCAAATTTTAAGAGAACTAATTGTTAATTTTTATTTTATTTAAGTACAGTACTAATTTCATTCTTGAAATCATCCAAATCTCTTAGCACTAACATAATTTGAATTTCATTACTTAGATTAATGTGATTCCCTTCATTGTCGAATTTATGAAGAGGGCTAATCTATGATTGGCTATTGTCTATTGAAAGTGATATTCTAGATTCTGTGGTAGATTCAGTAGAACCTGTTTTAAGACTTTGGAAGTCCTCTCTCATTTAGGCTTCATCCAAGTTCTCATTAAATGCTATTCCTCCTGTTGAAATTGTCATTGAACTCTTGAGAAACCAAAGGGATTTTTTTTATAATTCACAGATAAATGTTGAATTGTTATTGCTTAGAAATTTCTTTAAATAGTAATTGTAACACATGAGATTTGAAATGTCGAAAAGGGGTGTGATTATTTTAGTTATTAATTATTCTATTGTAAATGCCAAAGGCACAACTTTGGTTAAATAAATGAGAGAATCATCTTCTTTTTAAATAAGTAACTCAATCTAAGTCATATCAACTGGAACTACTAAATTAGGCATCAAGTCGTCAATATCATTATTCGTCATAAATTTAAGGTTTGCAAACATAGTTCGTGCCAAATAGGATTCCTATTTAGTCATTGTGTATAATGGAATGCATGGACCTAAATTTCACCATATTCATTTTGTTTACCTCCTTTCATTTGCTCCTACAGGTATTCCCATAAAGCTTTACTTACGTAATGAGCTTAATTGCGCTTATCAACTTTTAGAATTTACTCTAATGAGTTTTATTGTATAATTATTGGTTTTATATGTTGCATGTTGAACTCTCTCTTAACATTATTCAATATACTATTTATTTGTACTTGTTCTTCTTAGCATATGCTATAGCTATTGAAATAAACATATACCAAAGGGAATAGTTGTCGATCTTAGAAAAATTTGGATTGCAATTATACAAATCATCCTGAAACTATTCATACCTTAACTTTAATCATATTAGTTACCATTTCATACATATAGCAAATATTTAAGGTCCAGAAAGGTCATTTCCTATGGTAAGAATTTCATCGATTATATTCATTTATTTTTATATTTTTACACTTATATTTTGTTCATTACTATATCCATCTCAGATGAAACATTTCATGACCAAATCATAGAGAACATTACTAATATATATTTCTTAGATTATTGAATAGATATATGTCACATCTCCTGATTTCTTTCGATAGATATCAATTATTGCTGTAAATTCTTTAGTTACATTTCTTACTGATTTATATTTCATTAGTATTAAATTTTATCTTTATAATATGTTATTTCATAGAGTAAAATATGCTTATATCTTATCAAATCTAAAAACGGATCCAATTATTTAGCATTGGTCGAATGATTCTAAGACATTTAGCAGCATTTCTTATTTAATTGAAAACTGACTGATAAGCAATATAATTATATATATCTTGTTTACTTTTAATAAGAATAATTAATTTACGACAAAATAGAGCCATTTTTACCGCAAAATCAGAACTGTATTAATCTTCTTTATAATTACTTCACTCTTATTTATCTAACTAAAAATAGATAAGTTATATATCTATTCTATTTCTATTTGAGTAAATTTATTGATTACTGAATTCAACTTATAAAATGTTTAATAAATTAGAATTTCATGACTCATTATAAAAGAGTTTATAGTCACTTATAAACTGAGCACAACTTTTTTGATTCCATTTATCTGTTTAAACAATCAAATCTTTTATTATGTTAAAAGACTTTATAATAATACTTCTTTAGTTTTTACTATTCACATTTCTTATCGTCATAATACTCTCATATAGTAATTGGACTTTTCTTTCTTTTGTCTTTTACTTTTAATTTATAAAGTTGTTTTTTATTTGATTTTGGCAACTACTTAAAGATCATTTGAAATAAAGGGTTGTATTTTATTAATTTATCAGTTAATACTTTATATAGATATTTATTTTTGTAAAATTATCTTTGCCCTTTTTCTGAAATTAATATATATATATAATATAGAATATTTATTTATAATAAATTCATGCAGTTTGTAAAATTGTCTAAGAAAATTCAAGGGTAATTCTATCAGACAATTTTTAGAATTTGCATTCTTTTATTCATATTGATTGAAAATGAAGATCTAGCAATTAATTTTATTAATTATTATGATATTGGTCTCTTATGTTTTAGGACACCCGAAATTAATATTTAATTCTTTTTAGATTTAAGCCAGGATTTTACTTATACTTTTTGTCATGGGAAAAATACTTGATAAATTGATCATAATATGGGTGTGATTTTGAGAAAACACAATAATTAAAATACTGCTCTCCTATTTAAAGACTCTTTATTTTATTAAATTTTTATGACGTATAATAAGTAAGGCAGAATACCTGTTTCATTTTTGTTTTCTGGATATATAAGTAGAGTGAAAGATATTTTCCTAAATCAAATGAAATTTGTAAACAACATAATTAAATTTATCTAATAATGAACGACCAAATGGATATAGAATTCGATCTGTTTGAATTTTAAGGTTTGTTGGGTTAGGGGTCTTTCGGAACCGTGCTTAAAGCTTTTAACAAAAACACAAAATAAACAGTAGCTGTGAAAGTATGTTATCAAAATACCTAACTTATTGTAGGTAATTAAGAAAAAATAAATGCTATAATATGCGTAACTAATGCAGGAAGCCCAAATTTAGTAAGAATTATAACATCCCAATATTGTTAAATTTTTTGGAGTTTATGAGACTGAAAATAAAATCCTTATCGAAATGGAACTTATTAGTGGAGGTAAAGATGTTCTACAATATAGGTTCATTAAGTTCAATAACAAAATGTACTGAAGAATAAGCCAAATACATAATGTATTCGATTTTTAATGCATTACAGTATATGCATAATAACAATATTGCTCATAGGGATTTAAAGCCTGAAAACATACTTGTTACTCACGATCTTAGCTTTGTTAAAGTGACTGATTTTGGATTAAGCACAGGATACTCCTCATTGATGACTAAATAATGTGGAACGCTTATATATATGGCCCCGGAATAATTAAATAATAGGATATACAACAAGACTGTAGATGTATGGGCTGCTGGAGTTATCATGTATTAGCTACTTGTCGGTGAACATCCGTATTATAAAAAGGGATGCGATATTGCTTAATCTCAATTGACAATGCATGAGAATTGCAAGAAGATTTTGAATGAGTATTGAAAATTTAATTAATCTAGAGTAAGTAATTCAGTCTATTTCGAAGATTGACTGAAATCAATCCAACAAAACGATATAGTGCTACATAGGCGATGTTACACCCTTGGTTTAATAATGGAGGTGATGAGCCTCTGACTATGGAGGAGCAATTTTAAAAGTGGAAGCAATCTCAAAAGTTCTAAAATATCATCTCGCTTTTAATGTTGTTAAGTAAGATGGGCTATAAGAAGGTGCTGCATAATAGAGAACTATATCAACAAATTTCAAAGAATTTAAATAATAAAAAGAAACAAGATGTTATGAACAATTATGAATAATTATTTGCTGACTATTAAAAATCTTTGAATGATGCCCAGAAAACTAAAATTTCCACTGTTGTTCCTACCCCAAGTTTAGATCAACATAATGATAATAATGAACAAATTATTTTTCAGTCCTCTTTGATGAAGCCTTTTAAGTAATTATCTTCTTTTAATAAACATGACGCAATAAGGATTATCAATACTAATTCATAAATTTAGACACCTTCAAATGAAGAAGATAATGAATTAGATCAATAAATCAAATTTTCAAATTAATCTTATATAATAAAGGATAGATTAGAAAAATCGAATATTCGTCCCTAAGTCATGATTTAATCTCAACCTACTAAATTAACATCTAATCTATCTGAAATTGATAGCAATATACAGGATATTGATCCCCAATAATAACATCTAGAGAAACAATGCTAGTAATCAACAGCCACAAATACTAGTGTAAGTCCTACTAAGTCTCCTCTCAGAAGAAAACGAGTAAAAAGGACTTAAATTAAATAATATCTTAACGAAGAGATCATTTAATCTAATGTATAATAAATATAAATCATCACTCAAAAACCAAAGCAATAGCCGTAATAATAATAGTAATAATAACAATAATAATAACAATAATAATAACAATAACAATATTAGTCATAATAATCATAACTATAATAGTAATAATAATAATCAACTACTAATGTAATTAGATAACAGTCTCCTTCACCAAAAAATAAATTTAAGATACAATTAAAACCCCTAAATCATTAGTAATAACCTGTAAATTAAACTTCTTAATCAAATGGAAATCAGTCATTACGCCTAAAGGTTTAAAAGCTATCTGTTGATAAAGAATTCTTCGCTCCTCCAGTTTTAGATTTAAGCAATTTAGCACTTGAATGTTTAAGTCCAAAGTATCGAAAGACTCGTACAAATAGTTTGCATTATTAAAAGCGAGTCTATGCTAATGAATTTTAACCCTCGAGGGTTTTGGGAAATGCTTACAAAAAGAATTACGATTCCTTTTATATGAAATGAGTTCTTTTATAACTATAATTTTTTATATAATTTCTAGTTTTCTTAAAATTGAGTATTTGAATAATAATTCTGAATATATAAATTCATAAACATAAACAATAAAATTTCATATTCAAAATTTTGGACCGGCATTGATAACTTCTTATGTAGCCTTATCTTCATATTTTTTGAAGTTAACCTAAAACTTCTCAGCCAATTCATGAACTTATTTATCAAATTCTTCAGGATTTCTAAAATTAAATTAATATTTTACTTCCATGTATTTCTTGGGTTCAAGATTTATGTTGGAATGTTTTTAGCTTATTTGGGGATGGCAAAATTGAAAATTGGGAAGTTTTCAAACTCTACATCTTTTAATTCACCGCCGTGGATCAAGTCAATGATTCCTCTGGTATATTTCAATGACATTCTTTATCCGACTCCATATTTACCACCTGACCATCCAGTGTTGATTAACCAAACTTTGGTATCGTATTTCTTGATCTTTTCAGCCAACATATTAGCATAGAGAGTTGGATGAAGGGCTAAGAATGCTTCTCCAAAGCAAGCTGAAAATGTGGCTTATGGCTCCTTGACACCAACTTCAGTACCGGCAACTTTAGCAGTGTATCCAGAAATGAAATGATACATGGCTTATTCTGGTGTCAACATAGAGACTGGAGGTAAAACACCATAAGCATCACATGTCAAGAAGAAAATATTCTTTGGATGATTTCCTTAAGCTGGGAATTTTGCTCCATCAATATAATTTAATGGATAGCTGACTCTTGTGTTTTCTGTAATTGAAATATTTGTGAAATCGACTTCTCTAGTTTCTTCTGAATAATATTCAATGTTCTCCAAGACAGCTCCAAATCTAACTGCATTGTATATTTCAGGTTCTTTCTCCTTAGTGAGATCAACACATTTAGCATAGCAACCTCCTTCAATGTTGAAGATGCCATTGTCAGACCAAGCATGTTCATCATCACCAATAAGTTTTCTTTTGGGATCAGCACTAAGTGTTGTTTTTCCTGTGCCACTCAATCCAAATAATAAGGTGACATCACCATTTTCACCTTCATTGGCAGAACTGTGTAATGTGAGTATTCCTTATTTTGGGAATAAATAATGAGTGACTCCAAAGACTCCCTTCTTCATTTCACCAGCATATTGAGTTCCCAAAATGACCATCTTACGCTCAGTCAAATTAACAGCAACACATCCTTCTGATTTGATTCCTTCAATTGGTTTCTAAATTGTTTATGGACCAGCATTGAAGATGTAAAAGTCAACATCTCCACTGAAATCTTTCTTGAGTTCTTCGTCTGTTGGTTTAATCAACATGTTTTTCATGAACAATGCATGATAAGGTCTAGTGCAAAACACTCTAATTCTTAATCTGTAATTAACATCCCATCCTGCATATCCATCAATTATGAACAACTAAATTATTAAAATCATATGGTTACTTTCTCCTTGTTGTTTAAATATTCGAGAGCAATCTTTTCAACTTCATTATATGAGTCTTGGCTCAAACCGATGTTCACATCACCCCACCAAACATCTCTTTCTGTGACTTCATCCTTGATGATTCTCTTATCCTTAGGAACACGACTAAAACATAGAACAATATTTCATACCCGCATTTCTTGCCTGAGTATGCGACTAAAGCTCCAGTGTTATTTATGGAATCTGGTCTAACAGTTGGATCCTCGCTTTGTTGTTAAGACATTGAGAGCTCATAGATGAGAGGAACACTAGGGTTTCTATAGACAGTTGCATTGCGAAGTCCCCATTTTGATAAAAGTTCTTAAGCTTAGACTGTTTGATTCTCCATAATTAATGAATTTTATTTATGACGATTTCATTTCTATATTTAGAACTTAAATATTACGTATTTATATAAGAATTCCTATTAAATCAAATAATACGTAATCGGATACTCATTTTATACGCTTCTAGAAACATCTCTTTTTAATTAAGGTTAATAATTAGATGACGAACCACTATGATAAATAATTTTTGAACAATTAATGTTATTACTCCCATTACAATATTTTGCAGTAGAAAAGTCTTCACTTTTAAACATCTCATTATGATCAAATAGCGTCAAATCAACATTCTTACTTAACATTGAGTCCTTTATTCAATCCAAAAGAGAGTCTTCATTGCAATTATTTTTGTACATGTTTTAAATGTCCATGACTCTTAGAACATTTGGGAGAAATATTATAATTTTAAAGTATATTTTAAACATATATTCTCTTCAATTCTGCACTTCCGTATTAGAGTTGACCCATATGATCCTAATTAGCATATTAAATTAGAGGAGTATTTTGTAAATCACTTTATACTTCCGAATAAATTTTATTTATATATATAATAGTCTACATGAAGAAGGATATATTTAAATAGCTTCACTCACTGTAAATATTTAAACTTTAAGCAATTATCTAATTTTAGAGCATATTGTATTAAGAAGTTTTAAATGAATTAGATTATAGAGCATAAATAAAATTATAATCAAATTTCATATAAAAAAATAATCAATATTATAAATATAATATGCAAAAGACTTCTCTTATTATACCCACTGTTCCTTCATATATAAAAAGATATTCTCAATTTATATGTACATGACCTATATGTCCACTTATTATAAGTTTATAGCTTTGTGAATAAGCCAATGATTATGGGATTATTTATTATGAAGATGATTGATCTAATCAAGGTTTAGGGTATTTTGAAACAAGAAAGTATATATATTGATGTAAAAAGGTAGTATAATTCATTTTCAAAATCGATTTCTAAACATTTCATTTATTTCTAGATGAAAAATGTTTTCAGAAATATATATCAAAGTAGAAAAACCACACAAATTCTTATTTATGAGTTTCTGAATGTCAGAAACGTTGATTTATTAAATAGGATAAGTAATGGAAGACCTTTAATTGAGAATTATCAACTGCAAATTTATAATAATAATACTTTTTATTCCAATTAGTTAACGTGTTTCAATAATAAAAGTGCTTTGATATATAAAATTAAACTAATTGTTATTAGTCATGATTATATTGTAATTTAAATCGAATTTCGATAAAGAAGAGAAACAATTATAAAATTGGTAAGATTTACTATTTATTCTTGGAATGTTATTGAGATTGGGGTACTACGTATAATACAAGTGAAGTAAAGATTCCTGAATTTGATAAAATTAAAGATAAAAATATTCTAATTATGGCATGAATATTTATTGATTGCACATATTCTAATACTATTGAAAATTATAAATATATCCAATAATTCTGATTGCTTATTTTTATTCTAATATACAATTATTATAATGTGAATTTTCTATTAAGTCGAACTAAATATTATGAATAATAATTGCCTTAATTATCGATTTCATATATATTTTAATTTGTTAACAAACTAATATAAGTCTTCAATAATATTAAACTTCATTAATTAAAATCTGTTAAAGGAAACCTTTTGAAATATGCTTTCTTATCGATAAAATGAGTAAAAAAAACCCAAAAACTTTCATATAACTAATAATTTAGAGACTTCTACGATATCATGTAAATCTAAGAATTCCTTCAAAGATCTAAGCGATTATAGAAGTAAAATTTGACTAAAAAGTAGATCGCACTCCTGTAGAGAAAACATTAAACTTACATTAAAATTAAGAGAGCGTTACTAAAATTAAACAAATGCTTAATAACTTAGTATAAACCGATAATAAATCTTCAACTTCTTTATTTGGATAAGGTCTTAGAGATAAATAAATATAAGACACTAAGTCTACAAGGGGAGATAGTATTTGTAATAATGCAATTTAATTTAAGATTCTAGAAATGCTTCAACCTCTGGTTATGTTAATAAGAATCCATTAAATAAAACAACCAAAACTAACGATACTTTTTTCAAATAAAATATCCCCACCCCTTAATCAACTCGAGAGTCTAATCAAAATAATGGCAATCTATCTAATCTATATTACATGTTTTAAAATAAATAATCTGATCCATAAATTAAGCATAATAATTTAACTTTATCTTAGTTAGCAAAATAATAATAATAATAGTAGTAATCTTAACAATAAAAATAATAAAGAAATAGCAATAACACAACTCCTTAAAAATCAGGAAATAATGGTAATAATAAAAATATTTCATCAACTGAATATCTCAATCAAATATAATAGCTTAAATTAAAAATTGATAATAGTTTATTAAGAAAACCTGCATAGAAAACAGAAAAATTACAAAAATCGAATAATTCCTAATTGATCAAAAGTATCTCATCTTAGATTTTAAATAAATAACCGTAAGATGCTAATTAAGGAGTAAAGAAGGAAGTTATCTAAGAAAGAGTCTTTTAATTATTACTGGAAAAAGAATAGTTATGGAATCAAATGAATACATCATTAGATAATATTAACTAAAATTAATTAAATTAACTATGTTAGTAGATCCAGTAATCTTTAAATTCCCTTTTAGATCGAAAAAATGTATTCATTTTAATAATTATTAGAGCGAATACTTATCTAAAATAGATATGAATATCATTGATACATTCCTATTAGAATCTTACACAATCCTTATTATAGCACTTGAATACTTAAAGACTTAACAAAGTTTTGACTAAAATTTAAGAAATCTCATTGTCTATGTTACTCAAAGTAACTTTTACACTCTATAATCAATTTTTAACTTTGTTCCAAATGTAATACTTTCTTTAATTTCAGGATACCTTAAAATAAAGAATCGATATGAGATAAATTTAATTAAAGAAACCTTAAAATAAAGCCAAGCAAACCCTGTAAAAAAACAATTTTATAATAAAATCGATTCTAGAATTAATGTAAGTAAATTATCAATAATAGGAATTGACGACACAAGTCACCCAGAGATATATTCTCATTTAGGATTTAATTCAACCAGTTTAGATGTCTATTTTGTTTAGCAAAAGAAAATCCTCCATTAAATAGCAAAAGAAATTATATAAGATGAAAACCATAATAATTTGAACTGCAAAAAGCCTTCAAAACTTGATGTAAAAACCAATAAAATGTTATTGCCAAAAAAGCCTTTGAAAAACTACACTTTAGTTTTAGATCTTGATGAGACTCTAGTGCATTATTAGGAAGTATTTTTAGATTAAAAATTAAGCTTCCTAATGGAGGAGGCTAATTTTTAGTTAGACCTTATGCAGAAGAGTTTTTGGAGAAATTATCTAAATATTATGAATTGGTAATATTTACTGCCGCTCAACCGGATTATGCTAATTTCATTATTGATATAATTGATAAGTAAAAAGTAGTGACTTCAAGACTTTATAGAGAACACACTTGTTACAAAGATAATATTTACCTTAAAGTAATTTAATAAAATAAATGAAGGATTTATCAATATTGGGTAGAAGTTTGGAAAGAGTTATTATAGTTGACAATATGCCAGAGAATTTCTAATTATAGCCAGAAAATGGTATTTACATACTGAGTTGGACAGGTGACTAAAATGACAGGGCTCTTAAAGATCTAATGCCTTTATTGGAATGTATTAGTTTATAAAATTTAAGAAATTGCATTAAAAAAATGTAAAGATGTTAGAGATGCTTTAAATCAATTTAGGGAGCAAATGATCTAAAAGGTTTAACAGGGTATTAAAAACCCATATCAAAATCTCTCCTTGGAATGAAACTTAATTGTGAAGATATTTTTATGTTTTATTTATAAATCAAATTTAACAATAAATTTAATCTCCTCACACATTTCTATTAAAATCTATAAAACTAACCATAGTTCTTGATTAAAAACATTTATTGTTATGATAACTGATTTCCAATAGTTGATTTTAATACTTATTTATTAGTATTTGTAGTTTGCACTTAAATATTAACAATCAAATTCTTAATGTAATATCAAACTATAAAACCTTTTTCATACTTTCTTTTATGCAGAATTCTACAGGTTTAAGTGATCTAGGTTGACCATGAAATAGTACATTGATATTTAAAAGTTTCCAAAATTCTTTAGCTTTATTTTCTCAAACTAAAAAAAAAAGAATTAAAAAAAATTTAAATCTTTTTTAATGCCTCCCAAAGTTGACCCAAATGAAGTTAGATTGATTAACATCAAAGTCTTCGGAGGAGAAGGTGGTCCAGCATCCACTCTTGCTCCAAAATTGGGACCTCTCGGTCTTGTAAAATTAATTGCTTATTAATAAGAATCCAAAATAAGTCGGTGATAAAATTATTGCTGAAAGTGGAAAATGGAAGGGTATCAGAGTCATGGTTAACTTGAGATGCTAAAATAGAAATGCTGATGTTACCGTCATTCCTACCTCAAGTGCATTACTCATTAAAGAAATTGGAGTAATTAAAAAATTAAAAACTTTAGGGTTATGAGAGAGATAGAAAGAAGACTAAGAATGTTAAACACAACGGAAATTTAACACTTGAATAAGTCATTAAGGTTGCTAGAGCTGTTGAAGAAAAGTCATTAGCCAAAACATTCACAGGAACAGTCAAATAAGTGTTAGGAACTGCATAATCTTTGGGAGCCACAGTCGATGGACAACCAGTAAAAGCAATTATTGGAAAAATTAATTCTGGAGAGCTTAAAGTTGAAAAATGATAAATAAAATATATAATACATATAAGTACATTAACTTGAAATTTTTATGAAATTCATAAAATATTAGATGTTCCTTAGGTGAACAAGTCTTCTATCTATTAAACCTAATTATTAAATGAAAATATTCCATTAAGACTACTAAAAGCAAGTGTTCAATAAGAAACTTTAATTGAATTAGCTAGGTAATAAATTAAATTTGAAGAAAAATCTAGAATATGTACTTAAGGGTGTAAAGATGGTAGAAATGCTAAACAAATTAAATAAAGAATAATCATAATAATATTTATATGATAATTAAAAATAATAATTAATAATTTATCTCTTATTAGTATATTTAAATATATAATCAAATATAAGGTTAAATGATATTATTATGTAGTTGATGGAAAGGATTAATAATAACTTATCTTCGGGCATTAGGATAGTATGGCAAACTACAACTTGATCTATAGATTATGATAACGGTTTTAGGGGCTGTGTTTATTTCCAACTCATATAATTTTCTGTTTGAATATTCAACCTTTTGAGGAAATGAATATTAAATTAAAATAATTTAATATGAATTATATAAAAATGAAATTGTATCATTTCAAATTATCGTTAGATTATAAAAAATAATCTTTAATCTGAAACTCAAAAATCCTCTTAAGGTCATTGATATCATGATTTAGAGAATGATTAAGTTTTTGGGTAGGTTAGGGTTATTTTTCTTAATAATTTGATTCTTATTGAGAAAAAAGATTTTGAAAATATTATATTTAAGATGAAATCTTAATTCTATTTTTAAATTTATTTGTGATTTCAGAAATCTCCTTAAAATCTTTGATATCTAATCCTTCTATTTAAATTTTTTTAATTAATTAATTAAAGCATTATTTTGATGATAAACCATCTAATTGTTTAATTAAATCAGCAGTCGAATTTTAAAAAGTTTAATTAATTGTATTCTGAATAGACTCATAAGTATACTCTGTATTCTTCATGATAAACTCTTGCTTTAATTATTATTTCCTTATAATTTTCATTTTTCTTGTTCTACATTATAGAATTAAATAATTACTTTTCATCCACCATCAATACAACCACATTTTATTAAATATTGATTTATCTATCTCGCCTTTCTTTTTTATTAATTCTACCTTCATTTTTATATATTCTGTAAATAGCTTTGATAGTTGATAAATTATGTCCTGTAAGTTGAGCAATCTGTATTATTATGTTACAATACTTAGATGGCAGTATAATCATTTTCTAAAAACATTTTGATTATTTTTTATCTGTCATCTGAACAAACAGAATTATATTTTTGCCTTTTAGATTGTTTAAGACTTAAGTTTTTCATACTATTTAAAAGAAGTTAAATAATAAGATTTAATGAATGTGTTTTAATGAAATTTCTTATACTCAAATAAACATGGTTCCGAAGTAATTTTTGAAATTGATTAAACTCTCTCGGTTTATCCAAATAATCAATTGATATATTGATGTAAATGACTATTAAATTTTGAAATATAATCTTAAGAAATTGTGAATAAAATCGCAGAAGCATTAATGGATGAAATTAAATAATGTGTAAATTTGGAATCTTGTTCAATCAAGTCCAGATTAATAATACTAAATTTCGAATATTTAGACTGAATTTTCCAGAAATTAATGATATTATTGAACAATCTTTAATAAAATTAATATATTTAAGTTAATTACTATTCATTAAAATTAAGTATATTGATTAAATTGAGATCGTGTATGCATAATTATTAATTTTACATCAGAAATTTATATCGAACGTTATTTTTTTTATTATTGCCAATAGATTGAAATTTAGTAAAAATGATGTGATATTTTAATATATATAATATTAAATATATTTATTAAATAATATTTCAAATGCTCAAGAAACCATAATAGCAAAATCAAGAATACCAAATCAAGCCAAAACCCAGAGAGAAATTCAAGTCTTCAAAGTGCAGAGAATTGATTTAAGAAATCTTACAACAAAAATTAAAAACAGGATCATATTAGGATGTAACAACTCAATCCAAAGACATCGCTGAGAACATTAAAAATAGACTCAAATAGCAATATACTGTGACAAGTAGATATAAGTTTATTGTACATGTGTTAATCGGTCAATAAAGAGGTAAATCTTGATGATAATATATTATTTAGGCCAAGGAGTTAGAGTTGGCTCAAAATGCTTTTGGGACTATGACACTGATATGTGTGTTTCAGAAACTTTCATAAATGATTCATTATTTTGTTTGGTAACAGTCTATGCTGTCTACCTTTATTGAATTGATTATTTATGATATATAGTTGAATATAAAACTAATTAATGTTTGTATGCCTCTGGTTTAGAGAATTATTAATTTAATAATGTAAAATAAATACAAAAAGGTCTAGGACATCTTCATAGAAATGGATAAAAAATGCCTTTTAGAATAAAATAAATATGAAACGAGATTGGGTTTATGTGAGATCGATGGGCATAAGAAACATGCGGTGATTAAAATAATTGGAAACGATAATCAACCTGAAAGTTTGAGATAAATAGAGGCCATTAGAAATATGGCTGCCAAAACCTAAATGCTTAAGGGTAATCCATATATAGTTGAATGTTATTCTCGCTAAAGAACATAAAATACTTTTTATTTTGCTTTCAAAAAATGTAAATAAAACATATTGTAAGTAACTTTGGACTTTTATGAGATTCTGCATATGTTGGCCTCAATGATATAATTACTAAAATTATTCTAATAGAAGGGGGAATATCATGGAAATCTCAAACCCACCAACATTTTTTAATAAAAGAAGCTTAATTCCACCATTTGTTTCTCCACCACAGATTTTTTCCCTTTTCAATATTCTAATAGGATATAGGATGAATATATAGATCCTGAATTTGATAAGGAGAGACCCTCAATAGCAAATGATATTTATTCTTTAGGAAAGGTTTGTAACTTCGTAATAAAGAACAGAAAGTGTCCTTACTAAATTCTAATCAATCAAATGAGCTGTAGCAAGTAGGACAGAATAAAATTAGATCAATTAGAATTATAAGTTGAATAGATGATTGAAAAGTATGAATAGAAAAGTTTAAGAATGGAATTGAATTAGAAAGGCATAACAGAGGAAGTCATTTAAAAAATAATAATGCAATAGGTTGAGAATTAAAAAAAGAAACAATAGGAATAAACTAAATGGTCTGATTTCGAAATGAATTTAACAGTGGATAAAGATTTTAATCTGAGAGATAGGGCTTAATTTTTATATTTAATGTCATAAGAGATTCGCAATTTGTAATCTATAGATTAATTCCTATTGGATTGTTTAATTTTATCGTGTATTTCAGAATCCTATAATAGTTATCAGGAATGTTAAAAAATAACCTAAAATAAAAAATTGAAATAATTAGTAGAATCGGACACAATGTAGATGAACAAATATTTAAATATCATCAATTTGCAATGCGAATTATATATCTAAGATTTAATTCTCAAAGAATATGACGTTGGATTTTTGAAATAATACATATCAACTTACTCACAACCCAATAACTTATTCAAAAAGGCTCTAAGTTTAGTGATGGAAGACATAATCAATAAGAATCTAACTAAGGAGTTGTAGCTAAATGATGAATTGGATAAATCGGATATTAAGGCATTGAACTACATTTTAGTATCAAATTAAATGAAATAAGACGTGTGCTATGATTATAAAGGATTGCAATAATTTATCCAATCTTAATCACAAGTAGTATAATTATGAAATAATTCACTCTACATAACCTTCTCATTCTTCTTCAATAGCTGTCTATTGTAGTTTTCATTACGCTAAGTTGACCTCTATCTTTAAATGAATCTAGATTGAATTTGGGGACTAGTAAAACATTTTGGAGGTTAAGGTAAAATCAGAATTAAAATGTATATTTCTAATACTTAACATATATTTCTTACCATTATTTATGTAACTAATTTTACTTTTGTCTCATCTTTGGTTATTAGCTTATCTGCTTGTGATTTTGTTTTGTCTCTTTTTTACACCTTGTAAATCAATCATAAAAATCAAAATAAATTAAAATGTAAGCATATAGTAAATGTAAAAGAGAGAAACTTAAAGAAAAGATTCGTATTCTACAATATCCCGAGTAATTCAAGCCATAGGTCCACCATAATTATATAGTTTTGGATGAAAAGTATTTGAATTTGGGTGGTATTTGTGTTATACTAAACATCCCCAAGATTATGTATTGGTGTTTGACAATCCTGATCATGAAGATTACGAGTACAAAGAAAATTGCATACAATTTCAAGATGTTTTGAGAGACTTTGATAAAGTAATAGGCTTCATTAAAATAAGTGTTTTGACGTTGATTCATCATTTGAATCTCCAGACGATGAATTATTGAGAATGGCCTTTTTGAATGTATTTAATCGTCTTAAACAACCCCCCTCTACATTCAAAGAGATAGAAAGAGGCTTCTAATTATCATCAGCAAACAAACAAAAATTATTTATTGTGAATGAGCATGGAACTTAAGTAAGAATCAAACCAGATGAAACTCGTCAAATGGGATAAGGAGGTTTCTTGAAGTACAATGCAACGACTAATCATTGGGAAAGAACAGGAGAAAAGGTTTCTGATGTTGCCACTCTTTTTAGAATATTATTATTGTACAAATTATCTATGCATGCAGGGTAACAAATTTGAATAATTCAAACTTTTAGGTTCTTCATTAGGCAATTTTTAAGTCTAGATGGTACTAAGATATATGCGGTTTTGTTTTAAGAATTACGTAATCTGATTATAGAGGCACAAAGAACCTTTTTGAAGAAGAGAGTAAGCATAGCATTTTGTGACATTCTGTCATTAGAACCAGTGGATGAAGCGTATTGAATATTGAGTATTTTAGGTTTCGACCTTTACGCTTTAATAAAGTGATCAGATCTAAACTAGTTGGGTAAGATTTGCCTTTTGAGTCTCATCAAAAGGAAATTAGAAAACTATTAAAAATAATTGATTATAATAAGTTGGCTAGAGAGTGCAATTAATATCCATATGAGATATCTGGAGAGATATAATAATAAAGAAGACTGACTGCTGATGTGTTAAATGCTTATGTGTTTTATTTAGAATAAATTGCATCTGATTTGATCAATGTGAGAAAGAAATACAAAGAAAATGATTTTGCTCAAATTCTTACATCCTAAGAGTTGAAAGAATTGGTTGCCGATTTAAAGGAGTAAAATTTCAAATCAAAATCAACTAAATTCTATGTGAGAGAACAAAGTAAAGGGAATTGGAAGGATACGAATAGAAGAAAGATAAAGGTATTTTTGAAGAGGAAGATGGCTTTGGAGATTGAATAGATTTTACATAATGCCAAACATTAGACTGATAAATTATATGGTAGAAAATTATTGAGTATTTGGGATAGATTGGGTATGGAACCTTAGGGTCCTTTTATTGAATATTTTTATCCAAGGAAAAAGTAGAATTATAATAAATTCATTCAGTAAGATTCAATTTGGACTTATCAGATAATCAATGAAAAGGGCGAACGCTCATTATTCAATAAGATGGAAAGAGCAAAACTGAATATATCGATTCTAAAGTCATTAGTCAACTTAGAGTATTTGAGTTCGCAGGATTACATAAGAGATCATCTGATACCGAACAGTTACTTTGATTTGGATGGGTAGAAATACAAAGACGAACATTATTAACCTTTAAAATAGGCTAAACAATAAAAATAGGATTTATTCTTTTCTATGAAGTTAATATAGACAGTCAAAGCCAAAATCTAAAAGTTTATTCAGAAAGATTAAAATGAGTTGGGAGAGAAGAAAAAAAAGGTTTTAACAGAGGGTGGTTTGAATGGGGATAATTTATTAAACTTATGGGGATTATTGGATGTTCCAGTGCAACATATTTGTTCATATTATGGAGAGAGAATAGCTTTGTACTTTATGTTCTTGTAGTTTTTTGTTCATGAATTGCTTCCTATTTCATACTTTGGAATACTGACATTTATAGTATAAATACTGTATGATGTTGAAGCCTTGGCGAATAAAGTATCTATCATATTCTTTACAATAATGATTGTGTTCTGGTCATCAACTTTCTAGGCTTTGTGGATTCGTTAAGAAATGTAATTTTAAACTATGTTCGGTTTGGAGGATATGGAATTGAATTAGGTTGAATTGATTGGATTTGTGGGTAAACCTAAGAGATCTATAGCAAATGATAAATTGAATGATCTCCAATATTCATCAAAGGAGACTTGGTTTAAATTCTTTTTTAATATGATTTTGGTAGCGATATTCTTGGTGATTGAGATCGTGATTATAGTGGCACTATAACTATTATCCTTGTATTTAGAGAATAATCCAGATGTTCCGAATATCGAATTCATAGAGTTGTCTGTTTTTATTCCAGCTCTAATTTGGGTTTTCATAGGAATTCTGTTAGATAACATTTATAGGCCTGTGGCATTCTTTTTAACCAAATGGGAAAATCACAAATATTTATCTTAATTTGAGACCAGTTTTATTATAAAGAGTAATAATTACTATTAGATTAGATCTTTTGTTTTCCACTGTGAATCGTTTGGGATAGCCATTTATCATAGCATTTTTTTATGAATAAACAATTGGATGTGTAAATGATAATTACTGCTATTCTCAATTGTAAATTTACATGAGAGTTGTGTTTATAATTGAGTTTGGTAAACATATTTTGTTTGGATTTATTTTTCCAATAATCAAATAGATATATCAAAGGGCAAGATATGGATTTGTGAGCATAGTAGATTTTGGGGGTTCTTTATAAAAGAAAACACGTAACATTCTAAGAATTATACTTTATAGCTTATTATCATTTCAATAAGTCCATTGAGGCTGAGACCTAAAAGGAGTCTTTCACAATAGATCAAGTCGATGGAACAATATGGGAGTATTTGGAGTTGAATTTGTAATTTGCTTTGTTGGCCAATTTCGGGAGTCCTTTTCCTTTGATCTTCATAACTGGATTGGCAATGAATTATTTAGAGTTATTTTTGGACAAGTTCAAATTGATATGGCTCACAAAAAGACCTACGCCATAAACAGCTAGAACAATAGGCCCATTTGTATACTATATGAATCTGATTTCATATATTTCGATCTTTATCAATAGTGGATTGCTGTCTTATTCAAATTAGGATGTCTTCACTGAGATCAATAGTTTCACTTTGTTTGCGATTTTGATGATCGCATTTTTTTTGTTCAAATTTGTCACTGATATCATATATGGAAACACTGATAGTTCTGCTGAATTGGTACGACAAAGACACCAGTCGATATAGAAGAGGTTGCATGTTAGTATAAGGGGGAAGAATTAGATGAGTTCGAAATTGCCATTTCCTATAGCCAAGATATACGGAACTCTATTACCTCATTAATTGAAGAAGCAAGAATGATTATAATTAAAATTCTAATTATTAACCAGATTTATAATTATATAGATATTTTATAATAAAGGAGAGAGAATTAATTAAAATGTAAAATTGATTTCATAACCCATAGTAAATAATTAATTAATTGATCTGCTCATTGATGAGCATCATCTCTACTTCTATAGGTTTGAGTTCTAATCTGAGTTTGTCAGTGACATCCTTGAAGATACTGCCCAATTGCTGAATGTCGATGTTTTTGGGCAATTGAAGTACTATTTTGGTAGTCATCTGCAGTCCCTTGGTCAATAGATCTTGTAGAGATGGTTTCATACTATTAAGATCATAGGGCTGATGCGAGTAGTTCAATCCACCCCTAAGATTAATGGAGATAATACCAAGGTGGACACATGATGAGAATGAAATCTTAATTGGTATGAGTGTACTCGAGAAAATTCATCTAGGATTACGGTTGCTATGGATTCATACACTTACAAATTATTGGTAATGTTATTGATCTTGCTGAATTAATAAATATTGTATTTTACATGGGATCAATATCTATACAAATCACTGTTTTAAAACATTTCGCCAATTGGATTGCTAGACCTCCAGAACCACAAAACCCATCGATCACATCAGAATCTGGAGAACTGGCTTTCAATTTATTTGCTATATGAATGCTCATCTCCTTAATTCATTAGACAAATCTCTACCTCTGGTATCACTGAATACCAAGATTCCTCATCTAACTATATGCCCTCATTGAACTTTTTAAACAGAAAGAAGCGCTTGCGATAGAACTTTTAAATCTATTTGGGTATGTCGATGGATATTCCTGGATGCAATTGGCAAGGGAAGTTCTTTTTCGTGATCTTCAGCTTCAAACTCTCCAGAACAAAGAACTCATTCTGAGGATATCCCGAAACAGATAATTTGCGATGCACTAGTTTCTAGGTCTCAATCATTTTATTATTATATATCATTTTATAATCATTCCACCCCCTACAATATTATTTTAACGAATATTTTTCCACACATGTCAAACTCTACCCAAAACACTTAGTCCTTTAAGTTTCGATCCAAAATAAGGTATCTATTCTAAATCACAAACCCCTCAAGTTTCTTCTAGGAGACTCAACAGCCAACCAAAATCATCAAACATTACAAAGAAGAACTCAAAAATATATTAGACTATCTCCAAGATCGAGCACCCCTCCTCCCCATCTCTAAACCAAATCAAACCACACTCTACATCCAAACCTATTACAAAATTGGCTACAAAAGCACTTTTTGTGATGAAACCAAAGATCACTTTGAAAATTTAATTGAGGAAATTAAATTAAATATATTCAAAAAGTAATCTCCACCATTATATTCTTCTAGGTACCCATTCATCTCCATTATCCATGAAAAACTCAAACAACACACTCAACAACACCATGTTCACATACAATTTTAACAACTAAATGAAACACCCCTTGTCTTATATTCCAAACAACACTCCAAAGAACAACTAACACCAAAACTGATATCTGATCTTATCTGGCTTTCCTTGCATAAATTCAATCTCACCATCAATCTTGATTGCACCAACAAATACATCCAGTCCTTAAAAGAAGATCAGAATCAGTAAAACAATATCCTAGAGGCAGTGAAGATTACCATCCGCCAAAAGGAATTAAATTAAACGCAGATTGAAAAACATTCCACTCCCAAAAAATCAACTCAAAACATCCACTCTATTTTTAACAGCATGTCCAAAACTGAAACTCATAAACCTCAAGACACTTAAATTAGATCATTTTACTCTCCTATCAAAGCACAACCCACAAATAATCAAAATGTTATCAGATTATTTTCACAAACACAAACTGTCAATTCAAATAATCAAGCTCTATTCAATGATCTAATATCGAACATTAATTACGAAGTCGAAGTAACTGGTACTTAAATTCAATCAGTTAAGCAAGTCTTGAATTTGTAACAGATATATCAAGAGAATTAAGATTCTGCCAATGTGTCAATTACTCTCAATCGCAGTGATCTCATCAAGTGCATCATCAAAGCACCTGAGGATTCGACTGTCAATGTCTTAATTTCTAATCATAATGCCAAAACCCTATCCTATGATTACACTCAATAAGCCTACATATTTTATGGTAAGCAATAGGAAGAGTACACAGTAGAAGTAAATAAGAAGGACTACTTCGAACAAAGACGCTCCATTTTCCTATAAGGGAATTCAGATGTCATTATTCAATTTGATTTAATCAGTTAGGTGCAAACAACCATGAAATTCAGAGTATACGATTTAATACAACAAGAGGAAAATAATGTAATAGATAATTGTAAATTGGAAATTACAAAAATTAATTCAAATGACGAACCCTTGATTGGAATTACTAATGATTAAGGCATTTTTATGTGTTAAGGAGTTATGTTCAATAAAATCAAGGTTTAAGCCTCAAAAAAAGGATTTCTAAATATATCATATGAATTTGATGTTAATGCAAATAAGGCAGGTGAATTTTATTAAATCCCTATGATTCCTGATTATTATAGTTTGATCAACTAATATCATATTCTAATTTATATACCTAATTCTAATAATTATTAGTTAGATTTTAATATGATTTGTTCAGGTAATTAATTAATTTAACTATTTAGATGGTATTAAGTTAGATGCAAAAAATAGAGTCCATCAAAATTTGAAATCAAAATTGGATGTAAAAAAACTAAATTAAAACAGTATGTTATATAATTTTTCTCTGCACATCTCATGTTTGAATCCATTCGTAAATAACAATCAATTTTAATTCATAATTGGCAATCAAGTAAATAAAAGAAAACCGACTAACTCACCAAATGAAGCAACGATTAAAGAGAATAACGCTATTAGATATCTGACTGATGTCGCTGCTTAACGTATAATAAACTATGGAATTGAGGAGTCGATTAGAATTTTCATAACCTATGGACATTTGGTTATTGATACCTAGGTTATATCAACTAATTAATTGTTGCAATAAGAAAAATGCTTTGGAATTATTGATTGTATATATTATTATTATTGTAGTGGATAAAAGACATTTGGTAAAAGAAAATGAAATTATTTAGCAAACCAAGAAATAACAAAATATCAAGAAAGTAAATACTTCTTTCGATATGACTACAATTTTATCACAAATTACTAACCAATAAGTTAACAAATGAATGATTCACAATTTTGTTACTTATTATGTTAAAATATCATAGATCTATTTTATAGTTTCAACAATTGATATAATAAATTTTGAATAAGTTTAGAAATAATTAATTAAAGTCATTTATGGCCTCTGACCTTAACCACTTTTTCCATAACCAGACTAGCAAATCTTACTAACTCTTCTACATAATAAACAGAGAGATCATTAATGTAATTGCATTCTAATAAGGTTTATTAGATTTCTTTGATTTTATGAAATGGCAACACTTAACCTATGGTATTGCTACTCTATCTTTAAGCGCTGTTATGCAAACTATTGTTGCCACTACCATGCAAACTTCCATGCACGCTGTTTCTGATGCTAGACATCTTTCTCTTCAATTACGATTATCTCATTTATGATCTGGGCCTACTTAATACTTCCTGTTTAATCGAATTTCTAAATTTGTTTAATTCAAAAAACATGTCCATTATTTGTTAAAATATATATTTATTTCTGTTAAATTTTAATTAATTGGAAATGTGGAAAATTAGATACATCAGTATTTCTTTTTTATTTTAGGCAATTATTGATGTTCCTCAATGATTTTCATCAAGACTGTAGGTCTCTCAACACTGGACTGCATAGAAGCCTCTTTCTTTTAAGATTCGTGCTTGGATCTTTTCAGATAACTACTCGAATTTCTTTCATTTGAAGAGTTCTTCCTTAGAACACCTTCATCATCCTGTTTTTGACTGCCATTTATAATCGGTAATTTTTAAGAATAGTGCTATTTATTAAGTGATTGGATCACGTCTTTGCCATAATAATATTAATTGATTTAAATTTGATGGTCAAGTCTATCCTTAGAAGCACATTTACTAGAGATTCTATTTAATAATTTACGGTTGTTAAATGGGTTCATATCTCTCATGTTTTTCGTGAGTAGAATTGGAAACGCGCAATCTTCGGTTATTCGGTAAGACATTTTCTTAGATTGTCTATTTTGATATGGATTTATTTAAATTTTAATTCAGATTCGAATTCTTCTCAATATCTCTTTGATCTAAATGAGTGATTTGTTTCATCAATTAATGCAGAGCTTCATTGGATTAGTTTAAAGCGATGGAATCATTTGTATCTTAAGATCTTATCCTATTAGATTGCTGATTCCTCCTAATATGATTGGAATTATGCTAATTTAAATAATTGCTCCCAGGCAATTGGCAATTTAAATTGATGAGTTCTGATTTGTTTACTAACAAACCCTTTCTAGTAATAGGCCATTTGATGGTTTTCAACAAGTCATCCTCGATCTCATCCGTAATCAAACGAATCCCAAATTCCTTAGCTTTCTTCTGAAGGATTGAGAGTTGGAGCAGCTTATCTTAATAATAATAAACACTAAATATTACCACAATCAAGACGATTAGCAGGATGCACTTACATCATACTCTTGATCAATTATACTAATTCCTAAGAGTAGATAATGGGGATTGGCTAATATTGTCCTCTGAGAACGGACTTATACAATCCGTCCATGTCCTTGGCTCTAAAGGGTCTAATCATAGGATTGCTAAAATGAATACGGTTTCAGGGCGCACGTCTCATAGATGACACAGCCTAACGACCAGATGTCTGCCTTATGATCGTAGGGTTTGTCTTACCAAACCTCAGGACTTGCGTAATAAGGAGTACCAGTTTGGGTATACACAAGTCCGTTCTTGGCCAACTTAGATACATTAAAGTCTCCAAGTTTCACTTAATCATTCTCATACAAGAAGATATTAGCACACTTCAAATCTCGGTGCAATATTTTTTTATGATGCAATGCTCGCAAACCTTACAACACCTATATTGCAACTTGCCATATCTCTTACTCTGGAATCATCTACTGTTTCTTAATCTATCTTTAGATCTTCTATAGCAAATCCCCTCCTTCAGCATACTCCATTATTATACTTTATTACTACAACTGCAATACCATAAATTATTATCCTCAATAAAGCATTCCTTGTATGAAACTACATTCTCATGATGAATTGATGCAATAAACCGAACCTCATTCAATGCATTCTGTTTCTCTCTGTCCCCAATGTCCATCAATTTCACCTATTCCTATAAATCACTCCAAATACTTTCTTTAAAGCATAAACCTTCCCATCCGATTTCCTCTGCACTTTGTACACAGATGAATAAGCTCCAGAACCTATAACATCAACCATTATTTATAACCTAATTTTTTGAGGATCTCAAAATTTTATAGTTTACTTTCCATTATTTATTTAATATTATATAATTCTTATAATCATAAAGGCAATTCTGTTTGTCAATTTGTGAACGTTCTTTTCATTTCTTTCAAACAATTCTTCTCTTCTCCTTTTTAACTCAAACTACTTTCTTCTAATAATATAAAATTTAATTTAATGAATTAGAAAATTGTGATGAGAAATGAAGACCAGGAGGTTGAAGTGTCAGGGACAGAATAAGTAATGTTTAAATTTAAACATAGCCAGTTGAAATATAATAAGAGACCATCAAATTAAATGAAACCCATATTGATTTAATTGTCAAAGAGTTCGATGTGGATAGATTTTAAGCCACAAGATGGTTAAAAAAGAATGAGGGAGATTTACAAAAAACCATTAAGTGGATAATTAGCAATTGAATTAATTATTTATTAATTGAGTTCAATGCAATGTTTATAATATATCATATCAATAAAATGTTCATTATACATAATCCTTTTACAAGTTTAGTTATTCATAACAATAATAATAAAATTTAATGTTATATTAAAATATATATGGCCTTTCATTTTTTAATTATTAAAATATCCATCCAATCTTAATCTATAAATAGCACGAAATAAATAATAATAATGTTAATCATAGGTTAATTCATTATTTTTACAGTATATTGAAAGCTAATATTTACAATCAAAAGAGATTAGTATGTATATTTCTTGATATTAAAAAGGAGACAAAGTATTGTTAAAACTCTACAGTTAATCTTAAATATAATAAAAATAAACAACAAAGGTTGTTACGAAAATTTAGATGATATTTATCATAATAAATATATGATCATACAAAAAATTTCTTAGTCAGGATATTCGAGGAGAATTCTTTCATTATCATTTATTTGTTTGAGAAGTTCTAAGCAAATGTGAAATCGAGGCCTCTATTTTGACCTTCAGAGGTCTCCACTCTTGGTTTTTATTTTTTTTCATTTCGAGGATTTTGTTAGGAGAATAATTACTATTTTGTGTCTTTCGCCATTTATAAAACCCTTTTGGGTCTGATTTGAAAATCTTCAATTTCTACTCTATGTAATTCAATCATGGAGGTCTTCCTTATCATCTGCTTTTATGACTTATCTGTTGGAGATAACTCTGGACTGTAGGTAATTTATGATGTCATAGTTGGAATTATCATCTTTTTCATTTACTATTAGGAGGGCAATTTCTGAGATTTTCTCATTTATTAATTAATTAATGATGAAAACAATCCTTCTGATTATCTGCTTGGCTTCAATAATTCATAGTGAGAGAGTACCAGAAAACTATGAAGAGATCAAAATGAAAGTTGAATAGACTGTCTAATTTGTGGAATAAACTGCTGAAGTAGTTCAAAAACGAATCCTTGAATAGGAAATTGAATTAACCCAAGCTAATCAAGGAGGAGAAGATATTAATAGTGAAGTGAGAGTAAACCTTGAGTAAAGTGAAACTCAATAGGATATTAATACACAATAAGAAGTTGAACCAGAAAATAATCAACAACCATAATCAAATGAGGATGATGATGTTGTATCTTAGGGAGAAACTATCTAAACTTCTGATACCAATGAAAATCTCAATTAAAATAGTGAAACCTAGGAGAGCTAAACCATTGAAGAAAACAAGGAGGAATAATAAGAAAATGACCAATGCAGCACTGAAAGAAATTGCTAATCATAGACTGAGTAAAATCACAATACAGAATAAGAAGAGAAGTAGGAATAAGTTGAGAATTTGTAAGTAGAAAATGATGTCGAAGTGGACTAAATTTAATTAGATAATGAATAAGTGACTTCAAATGATAAAGATATAAATGATTCTTAATTAAATGAAGACACTTAAGAATAACAATAAAATAATGAATAATATGAAATACATAATCAAGAATATACTCATGAACACCATGAACATCATGATCATACTCATGAACATTAAGACCATCATACCCATGAACATTCACATGATCACGCTCACGATCATTCATATGATCACGCTCACGATCATTCATATGATCACGCTCACGATCATTCACATGAACACGCTCATGACCATTCACATCATCACCATACACAGGATCATACACACTATCACCATTATTAATAAGAAGAATAAACTGTTACAAGTTAAAATTAATTAAATGGATGGTAAGTTCAATTATCTTTTATTCCAAATTATTAAGAGATTTAGTCTAAACTTATCAAATTTTAACATCAATTACCAGAATTACTAGCAAAATATCTTCCTAATTCAAAATAGGATTAAGTAAATTATAGTGTTTTGATTGTGTCATTCCCCTCATTTCCAATATTTTTATTGCTTTTGATTGTAATAATGTGATATTTATTATAGACTGTTGGTATTAGAAACAGAGGAACAGCCATTTAATATATGATAGCATTTTCATTTGGAACAATGTTAGGAGATGTATTCTTCCATATGTTGCCAGAAATCTTAGGAACTCACTCCCACTCTCATGAAGGTCACAATCATGATCATGAAAATCCTTAAATGTGCTTAGTTTTGGGTGGTGTTCTGTTGTTTGCATTCATTGATTTGTTTATTATTAAATTGAAGAACTTTAGAGGTAAAAGAGATGATACCCACGATCACGAACACAATAATTCAGTTATTGTATTCTTATTTGGAGACTTTTTACATAACTTTACAGATGGTATTGCATTGGCTGCAACATATTCCATCAGTTTAGCATCTGGAATTACAACTACAATAGCTATTTTTATGCACGAAATACCTCATGAAGTTGGTGATTTTGCTTACTTATTAAAATAAGGTAAATGTGTTTTCGTTATTCTTTTCACTTAAATTGTCACATCAATAGGATGTTTGGCAGGAGGATATGTTGGTAATTGTTATTCTTAAATCTAGGATTACATTTTGCTTAGACCTTTTAGAAAGAATTATTGTGTCTAACTTGTGGAAGTTTCCTCTATGTAGCTTTAGTTAATATCTTACCAGAGTTGAAATAATCATTCTCATATAGACCAAAATTAGAAAGATTGATCATGAATCTAATTTCTATTGGAGCTGGTTTATATCTAATGAAGTTCGTAGGATAATTAGAATGATTTGTAAAGTATAAGTATTAAAAAATAAAAAAATATTTCATTCTGTATCTAGACTTTAATATGTAAATAAATTTTATTTTGGATACATCAACATAATCTTTGACTGCAAATCTTTTGGTTAACGTGTTTAAAAAATTGAAAGCAAACATAGATTATTTAATTGAAATCTTAATAAGCTTGATTGAAGATAAATAATAAATTTATATTATAAAGATATTTGGAATGAGAAATATAAGTTGGCTAATAGGTCTTTGTTGTTTGTCTATTATATATTCTGACTTTATTGAAGAACTATAATATAGCTTTATTAAATAATAATTATAATGTCATTAATCAAGGATATCAATCAAAGTGGAGAACCTAAATCGAGTGTTTTTTATTCCTTACGTCATGATCAAGAGTAGAGCAATAGCTTTCACAGTTTAGATGATGATCTTAATGAGAAAATAGATACAACATCAATTAATGTAGAGATGCAGATTGTGAATAATTGCTAATCTTAAGATTCTCCAATTTCCACTTAAGCAAGCCAAGAGGCATAATAATCACTCATTTAATTAAGACTATTGGGGAGAGAAGTTAAGGATCAGAAACCCTCATTTAAGAAGGAGATTGTTCCTATCAATATCACGTTTTTGTATTTGGAGTATATAAAAAACAATCCTGGAATGAAGATCTGGTTAATGTCCAATATCTTGTTGGATATTTGTTTGAGGATATTGATATTAGTATTCTTTTGTATAGGGACAGTGGATGAGGACAAGTTAATAGATCCTACTAAAGATAAGACTGTTACAGCTTATTTTATAATCTTCCTTTAGATTCCTAGAATTTTGCATTTACTTACGACTTCTAAATTGATTTTTATGGATAAATACAATCTCCAAAATAGATCTTATCTTCCCATGAGCTATGTGTTCAGAGCCAATTTCATTAAGGAAGTCTGTCCTCGTTAGGAGGATCTCAAACCGATCAATTACAAGGACAATATTCTGTCCATCAGATCAATGATGTTTATCCTATTGCCAATAGAACTTTAGTGGATTCCCATGTATCCTTTTAGAAATCGCGAAAATTCTGAAACTACTATAATCATTAGTAGTTACATTCTAAAAAGCATAGAAGTCATGATTTTTGAGCCAACTCTCCTGATTATAATTTCATTCAAATCTGAAAAGTTACTACTCTACACTAGATTGCTCTTTGGATTAATATTGCTAGATATTATAAAATTTGTAATCCTCAATTTATGTTTAATCATCTTTAGCAATGTGGGAAAAAATTCTAAAGTCAAAATATGATAATTTATTCTACTTTCTTATTTTATATTACAATATCAATCATAATTATAAGATTATAATAATTTAATGGAAGTGAACCAAACAAGAAATCCCATTTCATCTGAAACTGATATTCTGATCAAATCAAATGAAATGTATCTCCATTCTGATGGATTTTACCCTTAGTCTGCCAATTTAGAGTATCAACCCATTTAACCATTTAGATCAAAACTAATCCTTTTGGACACCTTATTTAATATCTACTCTGTCCAATGTGAAAATTTTGACATCAAGGTCTCCACAGATGAAGTCATCTAATTCAACAAAGAGATAATTATGAAGCAATAGAAATCTGGCAAATATTTATAAGCAATATACATCAAAGATAAATGGACTATATAATTAACAGAAGAACTTGATAAGACCTGCTTGTTCTCCATATAACCTTGTTTCAAATCATAAATTATTGTAACCTTTCATCTCTCATAATTAGAATCAAAATTGCGTCACTTTATACAATGAAGTCCACATTAGTTTGTCTCCCAATAACGATGCTTAAGGAGATGCCTAAGATTGCTATCTGACTTGGGATTCAAAACAAATTACATTTACTAATGAAGTTCATCTAGCCTCAAATTTCATATTTGAAACAATCAATAAGGCCATAAGTAAATTATCTTATGGTTCTTTAATTAAAATAAAGTTAATTGAAAAGAATGCTTATTTAGCAATGACTACCAAAAAATCTGCCTTGATATAAACCAAAAATCTAATTAACTAATCAAATGCCGACATCCAATACAATGCTCTATTCTCTAAAAATTTAATTGTGACTTGGTAAGAGTAGGAAGAAACATCTGAATTTGATTTATGGAGAATCTATCACCCTCAAAAAGCCTTCTAACAAATTAATTTGAATGATTCCTTTTATCTTTAAAATGTTGCAAGTAATTAATACATCTCATTGACTAATATTGTAAATAATTTTAAGGAGGCCTCTCTTTTTTAATTCTAAGAAATCAATGCTAGTAATCATTTTATCAGTGGATTTATTTTACATTAAGATAAATATTTCACTTCCTCACAACTATATCAACAAAACTCTTTGTTTTATTAGCTAGAATACAAATCATAGGTCACTAAAGAAGATTAATTATTATTGGAAGTATAAAGTAGTACAAGTCAAACTCAAATCAATTGGCTTCATAGTGCAGTCAATAGTATTCAAAATGCAATTCATGTTTTTACATAGAATTAAGAATTAATATAACAATCAATTAGATCCAATTAATAAAATAATCCTAAATTTGAATCAATTTATGAATTATGTAATCAACTCATCCAAATCCTGTCTGATTTGATTTGCTTTTGTTTGGAAAATGGATTTACATTAAAAGTTATTGATAGAAATTCTATCTTTAATTCCAGAAAAAATAGAAGAAATCAAGATCTGCTTAAACGATATTATATCATCTAATATCTAAATTAATTATTAGAACTTATCTCTTGGGATGATCAATTAACTTAATTATATAATGAGGTTGACTTTCTCCTCTCAGAAGAATTAGAATAAAGTTTAAGATTGAGAAATCAGATTCAAAAAGTCTTGAAGACTATATTCTTATTTTTCTCTGCTTTTGGAGCATACAATGAATAAAATGGTCTCTTTATTTTGTATAGCTATTCAAAATTTGTTTAGCTTCTAGGATGCCATATAGGAGCATTTGATTGTTTAATCCAAATATTTTCAACTAATCAAACTCTCATTCCTACTGCATCCTCTCTCTTTTTTAATCAATCAGTAAATCAAATTTAGCAGAATGAAATTACACTCATAGATTTGATTTTTCAAAGGGGCTAACAATTATATGGGTCTAAAATTAGATCATTTTGGTCTAATATCCCCAAGTTCCTATAAATTCTTTGTTTTTAGAATGATTTTCCATATAAAAATAATCAAAAAGCCATAGGTGTAAATTTGAAGGCTGATTCCTTCATATTTTCTAAGCTGTTCGTTCATAAGGATGATCAATTCTTTTATTTAAATGTAGAAGATCAATAAATAGAGTTAAATCAAATTTATCAGAGCAGCTTCAAGAAAAATTTAGATATGATTCAAGATGTATAATAATGCAAAAGGTTCGTTGATGAATACCTAAATTTGGTTGGTTCTCTTTGCCAAAATAGAAATGTGTCAAATATAATGTATTTTAAAAATATATTCCCTAAAGAACATCTCGTTTCATATGTGAGCGATCTAAAGAATGATGATTATCTTAGATGCAAATTAATTGCTATTTTAATTAATTTATACATAGATTTTCATCCATTTTATAAAATCTAAATTCCAAAATTAATATTTAAAAGCTACAGATAATAAATAGAAGAAGATTTTGATGAAGAATTATTATAAATAAACAATTAGAAAATTAATGAAGACGATATTAAATTCATCGAAAGTATTTAAGTAATAGTTTAGAACTATTTAAAAAAGAATTTTATCTAATAAAACAAAGTTAATTTATGCATAAGGAATTATTAAATGTTAAATATGTATTTATAATTACTCAGTTTCAAATTGCCAAATTAAAATTAATAACTTAAAAGAAATAATAACAATAATAATAATAGTTTTATAGATCCTAAATTTTTTCTATATTTCGAATTCTTAATTTTAGCATTTTCACTCCTTCCAGATTCCATTTCTGAAAAATCTCCTAATTAAGACTTATTACAATAATTTGAATAATTTTCAGAAGACAGAAATGTGTTTAATCTCCTTACTAAATGTTTCATTGAATTCGTATATTACTTAGCAGAGATTTTTGAAAAGGATATCATTCAAAAATGTTTAAATAATAATGATCCAAATCTAAGAGACAAAATTAAAATAAGTTTAAGCATACCTGGATAATATATTGACATATCTAATACCCTATTGAAGCTATTATCTCACAAATAATTGGCATCTCAAATAAAACTTAAAATTTTTAATTTAATTGAAAAACTACATTAGCCTAAGAAAGCTATATTACTAAGGTTTGAATAATGTATGATTTTAGAAAAATAAATTGAAATTGATATATGCAAGGAAATTGAAGAAATAAATTATAAGCTGTTAACATTATTATATAATGAAAATATTCAGTAGCAACATTAAAATCTTATTTAATTTTTGAGGAATTTCAATTAAAAAATGGATGGGTCTGAATATTTATTAATATCTCAAAGGATAATTAGGATTTAAAATCTTGATTAGACTATCTTTGATATCCTCATAAGTTTCATGTAATAGTGTAGAGATATAACTCTCAGAATGTAACAAAGTGTTGGAAATTATTAGAATACAAATTAAGATGAAAATATCATTTAATTATGCCAAGAGCTATTTAAATTGTTGAGGATCACTTGTAAAAATAATCATCATAATAAAATTAAAATCATGAAATAATTTGATGTAATTGAATAATTTTTTACAATTGTTGATCTAGGATAATTTAATTTGCTTATTACTATTTATGATAATTCTTTTGACTTAATTGATTGCATAAGTCCTAAAACTATATATTTATTATTTGAAAACATATGCGTTGGAACTCTGAGAATATTGTAATGCATATTATGTTAATAAAATATGATCTCACATAAAAATCTTGTACTAATATTTCAATAAATATCGTCAAGATCATAATTCAATGAGATCATTGGTTTAGGATCATAAAACTTAACGAAGTTATTCATACTCGATTAACCATAATCTCTATAAACATTAATGCTATTTGGAAAAGCTCCTTATATATTATAAGTCTAAGGATATGGATTTCTAATTAATTTAATTTAATTATTTATTTCGACAAGCCAAAGCAATTAAAATGAGATTTATTATAATTTTAGAGTGCAATAATAAAAAGAAAATAATCATCAATCATAATCAAACAATAAGCTTCATCACAGCTTACTATAAAATTGTTTCTCATATGTTAATTTATTTCGATTAATTTTCACTTTAGAAGATATATTTTCAATCCAGATAAGAAATTGGTAAGCAGATTAATCATAATAATTATAAAAGAAGGATTTAAATTAAATATTCTTGAATACAATTTTGAAACATTAATTATTAAAATTTCTTAATCTACTGTTAACTCAAAGCGAATTCTCTAATTATGATGATGAATACATAGAGTTTGTTAAGAAGTTCATCAGTTATGAAAGGAAACTTTTTACTATTTAGATTATGTCTATTGAATATTCAACATATATTGATAACATTTAAAATCAAAATAAATTGAAATTGCTCTCTAAATTGTATAAAGATCATCACAATATCTAATAAAGTGAATTTTAAATGATTTCTGAATATTTGATTGACTAGTATTTTGAATGTTTTCTATTCAATAATTATTCTATTTTACTTTTTGATCTAAGTTTAAATTTAGCATAAAAATTATCAGAATATATTGATACATTGGAAGATTCATCTACGAAATCTAAATCAAATAGAAATTCATCAACTTTAATTTTTAAGAAGAAAAGCCAATCTGTATCTCTGATTGATTTTGGAACTAATGAATCGAATAATCTATCATAAAAATTAAGTCCATTTAATGAACTCAAAGTTTAAATGGATGATCTCATTTACTCCATTGAATAACACTTAAATGATAAATTAACCACAGATGAAATCAAAGAGAATTAAGATTTTCTTTATCTGAAATAATAACAATTGAAGTTACTTTATTTAAGATAATTAGATTTTAAAGGTTTCAAATTTGAGTAATAATAAATTCAAAAGAATAATCTTAATTAAGATGTATATCTAAATCCTGAATATTTTAATGATTCAAGAATTCATGAAATAATCAAGATTTAAGGATTACTTGATAGTAAAATTCTGAAAAATGTTATTGAAATATTAACCAATACACATTAAGACCAAGCAGAAGAAAACTTTTAGATGTATAAGCAAATTTATTTAAGATTATAATTAATGAATTAAAATTATGAGATTCAAATTGAGAATTTTCCTAAAATTATCTTGCCTTTAGTAAGAATCTTAAAATAAAGTTTGAATAATCTGATTAGTAACTATTAAGGAGTTTTAAATATTCTTGAATTCTTATGGTAACTCTTGGATATTCACACGTATATAAGAGCAGATTATGAGTAAACAGTGTCACAATATATAATGAATTAGAAGGACATATACAAAAGTTAGAGTGAATAGATTTTATAGAACAAGGCTATCAAATAAATACAAAATTTAATATGCAATGAAGGATTTTTTGAGATCTTTATATAATTTTGTGATTCATATCAAAATTTAAGAGTTATTCCTTTTGCAGAGCTTGGATCTATAAACTAAGATTTAAAGGATTAAATGTATTATAAATTTTTATTAGTCTCAACGAAATTGATTAGAGGATAAGAATAAGCAAATAAGTTGGCTTAAGAAAAACTTATTTCAGTAATGAAAAACGCCCAAAGCAACTCATTGCTGAAGATATTTTGTTTGAATTTTAATAGCTTCTAAAAATAGAATGATACTCAAAAGATGAGAAATGAGACTGTTTAAAATTTAAATCGTATTTTGTTTTCGTATGAATTCAATCAAGGTCACAGACTAGAAAGGAAGAATAACTCTTAAAAATTAGGGATTATTAATATACAAATTAGATTTTTATAATTAATAGCTGAAGATCACTTTAAACCAGCTTAGGATTTTTTGAGGATTTAAGAAGGATTCTCTTAAAATTATGATATGATATAATAACTGTAAGATATATTATTCAATCATTTTGTTTAAGAAACATTCATAAATCTCAGTTTTGATGATTATGTATTGATAGTTGGATGTTTTGATTGTATAAAAGAATTAATTCAGGGACCATGTCATGAAAATTAAATGAAAATATGCTCAATACAATTCTTAAAATTGTGCTATAAACTTCTCAATTTTGATGATTCTCATGGCAAATTTACAGCAATGTACAGTAATCTGACTAAAGATCAGCAAAAGATTTTAAATAGATCTAGGGAAAAAACATAAGGTGAATTTAATAAATTAATAGTAAGTTAAAAAAAAACATAGATTTAATAGGAATATGTAGAATATTATAAAAAATATCCAACATATTGCAAAAAGATTTTATAATCTTTTAGAAAAAGTAATAACATCAATTATAGAATGTTTATGCTATCTGAAATTAAGTACAGATGTTCTACTACATTAGAATCTTTAACTGATGACTAACAGACTTCTTCTGAAACCTTAGAAAAAATAAATAGTATAATTAGTGAGAAGTTAGTTATCAAGAATATTGCAATTTAATATGAAAAGTTCAAAATTCTCCATTCATCTGGTAAAAATTACACAAATACAATATTTTCTCATTTATTTGGGGATCAACCAAAATTATCAATTCTTAATTAAGAAACTATCTCTGATTCTGATAGACTTTGGAATATCGAAGAGACCATCAATGTAGATGTTGCAGTAAGAGATTTTTGTGATTCCTTTATTATTGAAACTGGATTTTCTCTATATAATATTTTAGCCTAAATCTTTTAACATAAAAATATGGATGTTTTAGAAAGAATTTATGAATAAATCGATTCAGAGAAAACATAAAAGAAATAACTAAAGTAGTTGCTACTTTATAAATTATATCAGTCCTGGTTTTAATTGCAAAAAATTACTGAAATGGTTACTAAGTAATATTATTATTTTAATTTTAAATAGTAATGTTCTCAAAGGGAAATAAAAAGAAGCAATCAATGATAAAATCTTCTTTAAAATTTACAATTCTAAGATAATTCAATAGGATAAGTATTAATTAAAATAGCACGATACTGAAAATAATTCTGAAAAAGATAAAGAAGTAGAAAAAGATTTTTAATAGAAGAAACTTGGGTATAGAGCTTTAAGATTCTATGCTACTAGATCAGGATCAATAGAAATAATTCTGCCTTCAAAGCAGATCAAGTAAGTGATATTTCCACTGTTACCTCATTGTTTTTCATTAAACAATTCAATTAAACAGAAGTTTAGTAAAGATATTGATCGAACAACTTAATAAACCAAAGTTGAATCTATACTTTATAATTCTAATAAGACAATTCAAAAATTGAAAACGGAATACAAATTTCAATTATTGTATAAAAGACACTTTTTAGTTAATATGATAGCTGGTAATCAAGAGATTTGGAAACAAATTATATTTTATGTTATTGTAATGTAGAATATTATGATTTTGTTAACAAATAATGGAAGATATGATCATGTACTTGATGATTTTCTATTGGCCTTAAATATTATTTAAATAATATTGTAATTCGTTTGCTTTTTCATTTTTATCATAAGAAAACTACCGTATTTGAGAATAAAGGCTCAGGAAATTGTAATTGAAAGATAAATAAACAGAATAAGAAAAAGGGAAATAAAATATAAATATTTAGATAATTCATAAAGCGTTGTGTTATAGGAAGACTTTATCTTAGAAAAAACAGATAAGTTTTTGCTCGAATAAAATAAATTTGTAAGATTTTATTAAAATGTTACTGATAGGTTAGTCTTATTTAAATATATATTTTTTGATTATGAAATGATCTATTTTTTAATATTTACTTCAATAGCGATTTCAGGATTGTTTACAAAAACATTATTAGCATTACTTCTACTTGATGTATTTTGGAGATTTCCAGTGCTAACAGCAATGATAAACGTAAGGAATTAAAATTTTAAATTTATAGTCCGTTTGGCGCCCAATAATATAAATTTTACTTACATTGGCTCTTTTTTTCATACTTTAGTATTATTATTCTTTACTAATTTATGATTTCTACTCTGAAGACACTAACTATACTCCATATTGTTAAAGCTTGTTGCAATGCTTTTCGTTCATTCTGGATGTAACATTTAAAAAGGATAGTGGGTCTGCAGGGTATGTTGCAGCGTCTAATGGTATTAGTTCCACCTATGCAAATCCCGATTTCCGTTTTAGTATACTCAACTTTTGGGAATTCTGCTATTATTTCTTTGTAATCAGTTTAACCTATTCCATCTTCACTGGATTGATCTTAGATTCATTTGGGGCTGATAGAGAAGAAGCAGAAGAACTGGAAGCTGACATTAAAGAATTGTGTTTGGTTTGCGGTATAGACAAGGGGATCATAGAAAAGAAAACTAAACACAAGAAGGGATTCAGATTTCATGTGAAGAATGAGCATTATGTTTGGAATTATATCTTCTTTATTTCCTACCTTCAAGGGAAAAAGAAGTCTGAATATAACGGCATTGAAAGTTATATCGATGAGGAATTAAAGAGGGAAAGCATTTCATGGTTTCCTATTAATAGATCCTTATCGATAATTGAGTAAGATGATGTGGTATGAAACATATAAAATCATTTAGGATTAAATTGATCAAATGATAGATCAATAAATATTGAAGATTTCTCAAACCTTAGATACCAAATTGTATGAGAGGGGTCTTAACAAAAACCTCAATTAGAGTTGAAATTAATTAGTATTTTTTATCTTTATTAACAATTAATTTTGGATTATATAACTTATATTACCAGGATTTGGTAATCTATCCATCTTTTAATACTCTAGAATGATTAGAATACAGATAATATCATCAATGAAAACTCTAAATATCAATGATTATTAAATAGTAAATAATATTTAATAAATTATTTTCCTATTTTTAAAACTATATATTATTTTAATCAGATTAATGATGATTAAATGTATAAATATTCTTATTAATAAGAATATTTATTTTTCCTTACAATGTGATTTTTGGTTTATTTCCAACTTTATTCTTATTTGAATTTAAGATTACAATTTAATATATATTTTTAATTATTATCCAATTTTATAATTATGTACACATGAAATATTAACATGGTAGATTACAAGAATATTATAATTAACCTAATTGTTTTCTCAATTGCTAACTTGAACAACATTTATCTATCAAATAATTCTATATAATAAAATTTTCCAAGAAAACAAAAAATAATATCTAAATTTAATGAATATAAAAACACTGGATTTCATTAGTTTTTGGAATATGATTATAAATTAGATATATTTTTAATTAACAAATAAATTTCATCATAACTATTTAAACTTCTTATACTTCTTATGGCCTTATTCACTTTCCAAAAGCTATTTAATAAATTCAGGGACTCTCTAATTTTCCCTTTCTACACTTCTAAATTATTGATATTAAAGTATTGTTACTTTTTGAATTCAATAATTTATCTCTATCCTTTCAAAAAATCCTTAACAGTTTCAGTTCTCTCTCTATATCCTATGTTTTTGATTAAAACTTCAGGTAGTTTTTCATCAAATGGGTTATATTGTACATTGATGCTATGGATATTCTTATAAAAATGCATATCGTCTTCATTAGTTTATAAAATACCTTCGAAATTCTCTTTTTGGAGGTCAGGCTTTTACACATACCTCAAATCATAAGGTATATACCATTTGTTGTAAAATTGCTTATTCTTATTAGGCAAGTTTGGTAAGGATGGTAATTTTGTGTGCATTCTCTTGCTTTTATCCTCCTTGGGTTTTAAGGAGATTTCCTGATTTTTTGAAATTTTTACTTGGTTACCCAATAAATGGAGGCTCAGTTTTGGAAGGCGCTTCTAGTCTAATTTCTCTATTATTTGAAAACTTTATTAGTTCTTAGGAGTAATGATTCTTAAATTCTTTTGATTAGGCAGGAGATCTTTCTCTAATTTATTTAAGATTTATTTGTTAATTAATCATAATAATAAAAAATAAAATCTAAATAAGAAATTTTGACAATATGGTATTCAAAAGTTATCTGAATAAATAAAATTATATTTTTAATATATGGGTGCATGTTCATCTCAATAAAGAAGACCTGCTTAGGTTCAAAAGCCAGGTTAAAATTCTGGACCTTAAGCTGTAGCTGAGGAGTTTAAAGTAGGGCCAGAAATTTTTGTCACTCTGAAATAGGGTTCTATTAGCAATTTTTATAAAATGGATAAAAATTTGGGAAGTGGTAACAGAAAATATAATAAATTTAAGGTGCATTTGGAGAAGTTCGATTGGTTATTCATAAGAGTACAGGATGTAAAAGGGCAATGAAATAGATAAGAAAGGATAAAATAATTAAAGATGATGAGGATAACATGTTCTCAGAAGTCAATACTCTTAAAGAATTGGATCATCCTAACATAGTTAAACTGCATGAACTATTTTAGGATGCAAAAAATTATTATCTAATAACTGAGTATGAGTAATAATCATAATTAGATTTTTAGAAGGAGGAGAATTATTTCAAAAGATTACAGACATGAAACATTTTACAGAGAAGATGGCTGCAGATATCATGAAACAAATATTAGGTGGTGTAGTACATTGCCATGAGAAAAAAATTGTTCATAGAGATTTAAAACCAGAAAACATCCTTTTTGAGAATAGGAAACCCAATTCAAATTTAAAGATCATTGATTTTGGAACTTCCAAAAAAGTTGAAAGCAATCAAAATCTAACTAAAAGATTAGGAACTGTATTATTAAATTACAACTACCTTTTAGCCCTACTATATTGCCCCTGAGGTATTGAAAAGAAATTATAATGAAAAATGTGATGTGTGGAGTTGTGGAGTTATACTGTACATAATGTTATGTGGTTATCCACCATTTGGAGGATAAGATTAAGAGATTTTATAAAATATTGAAATCGGGAAATATGAATTTGATCGTATTTATTATCAATTAACCTTTTTAGCTGAGGATTGGGCCAAAATATCAGATGATGCAAAAAATTTGATTAAAAGGATGCTTACTAAAGATTATAATTAAAGAATCTCAGCTTAAGAGGCTTTCAATGATCCTTGGATTTAAAAGAATGCACCGAATGCTCCTATTGATTTCAAAGCTATTAAAAATTTGTCTTCTTTTTTTGTATATTTCCGATTATATTTGTAGGGCAAAAACAAGGTGAGAGCTGCATTAATGCAATTCATTTCGACTAATCTCATGACGAATGCTGAAAAAGAAGGGCTACTTGCTGAATTCAAAAAGATAGACAAAGATGGAAACGGTTAAATTAGTAAGGATGAATTAGTTTAAGGTATCAACATAAAATAAACATAGTCTATCTTAAATAATATGATGAAATTAAGGCAAAACAAATGGTTGATGACATATTTGATAAAGTGGATACGAATAAATCAGGCTATGTGGATTTTACAGAGTTCATCACTTCCGCAGCTAATGAGGAGAAACTACTTAATAAATAAAGATTATAATAAGCATTTAATATGTTTGACACAGTAATTATAGTATCAATTTTAGAATGGTGACGGTTAGATAAGTAGAGATGAACTTTAAGAAATTATGGGGAGGAATCGATGACAATCTTTGGAAGGAAATTTTGGCTATGTGTGATTCAAACGGCGACGGCTAAATTTCTTAATAAGAATTTATTGAATTTTTAGTAAAGAAATATGAATGATATGTATTTTATAATCAAATCGACATTAATGAATCCAATTTACATAATTATGTAGACATGATATATTCTAATTTTGAATAATTATTTCTATTCATAATTAAGTCAACAAAATAATCTTCTTTTATATTTATATATTGACAATGTAGATTGAATATAACAAATATAATATTTTACCGATCAACCAAGTGTTGATTTCTAAGTTCGGTTGCTTTCACATATTCTATGATATGGTACAATATAAAGAAAGTCTGAAAAGGATATTAAAAGCCAGAGCATTTAAATTAGAACTTAGAGATGTAATTTTATATCAATATGCATATAGAGTTTCATAACGCTTGTCTATTTCTATTGTTTTGATGTTAATATTTCTAAATTTTCTTGTATTAGCTAGAAATGATAAGACCAATTACATTTTCTTCACAGAGTTCTTAGGCTCTTAGATTTCGTCGTTAATGTAATCGACATCAATAGCAATACCTTCTGGACTTTAGATTTAAGCCTAATCGTAAAAATCATCTTTAAATATTTCATCTCTTAACCTTCGAAATTTTCTTGTTACTCCATTAGGATTACAGTTTACACAAGATTGTCATTCTAGCACTATTAATGATGATGATTTCCAACAACTTATTACTCAGCAAAGTTGCTCATTTCTTTTAATTAATTACTACAGATACAGTACGCATTTTATGGAGTATCCTAAGTAAAACCATCAAACTGGTCTTTTTTATTAATAGTAGGGTGAAGGTCTTCAGTTTGTCTATCTTTAAAACTATTTTATGTTTAAAGTACCTCAATTAATATTAATTTTGTATTGGGCAAGTTCAATCTTCAACTAAATCAAAGAAAATAGATGCAAGAACACAAAAATCTTGATATTTTTCTTCTTCTAGTAGGTTATTAAATATTCCATTTTCTAATGAAACAAATAGCATTATTATTCTTTAAAAGAATTAAATTTTATTCTATTTAGTATATTTACATTATGCAATTCTAAAGCAGTACTTACTCAATTGGTATTAGCATTATTTTAATTCTTCTTTTTCAATAAACAAATATTTTAGTATCAATAAGATTATGTAAAGTGTATCACTATTACATGACATTTTACCTCTAAATCAGCTACATACATTTGGGACTCTCCTAAGAATTTTTCTGACCCAATTAATTTATTTTTCAATACAAAATATAATAAACTTGAAGAATAAACGATAAGGATCTTAAAAAATTAGAAAAATGATTTTTTTTTTTTATTTATAAGATGTCAGGACTCTCCGACCAAAAATAAACTAAAAATAACAATCTTTCTAATATTGAAAATTATTTATTTATGTATATATAAAATTCCTTGAAAAAAATATAAAGTCTATTTCTAAAGCCATCTTCTGTTTTAATTGAATTGCATATAAAATATATCAGTCTTAGATGAAGTTACAATTCTTTGTCTAAGGGGTTAAATCATAATTGATAGATTGGAGAAACCAAATTGGTATTTTTAACCGAAAAATTATAGATAATTTAACTTTAAATTAATTTAATATATACTAATCAAATGTTGGATTTATCGAAAAGAGAATTTACTAAACTCCCAGGAGAAATAGATGTAAACATTATTCCCATTATAAACCAAGACATTTATCAAGGAACCAGACTATTATAACACACTAACTGCTTGTAATTGCAAAACACAATAACTTTTGAGTTTCATGCATTTCAAAAAACTTTAAGCCTTAGATCTATCAAATAATGAACTAGGAAGCTTTGTGAAGACAAACACATTATAGGGTTTATTTCTATTAAAAGTATTGATCTTGAAAAAAAATGGAATAACTCAAATAAATGATTAATTTTTTGCCACTGCAAAGAATATTGAGGTATGATTATTTTTGATGTGTTTTTATTTAGATGTTAGATCTTTCGGAAAATAAAATAACTAAATGCGGCAAATCATTTTTAGACCTACCTAAACTTATTACGTAAACTGAACCTATTAATTTAGACTCAATTTAAATAAAAATCAAATTGATGATTTAAATGCTTTTAAAATTTTCAAAACCAACCCTCTCTAAGAATTACAATACCTTGGAATCAGATAGAACAACATAGAATCGTATACCTATATATTAAATATAATCTTAGGAATTACAGATCAAAATTTGAAACAACGTTGACTATATTCTTTCCAAACTTATAATTTGTTCTAACCATGTTCTCTCAATAAAGAGAACTGAATGCTTTTCATGAGATTCTATTTATTGATCATTACTTAGATCAAACTGAGGTCCCCTTACAATAAAATTAAATTGAATGCTCCTTCCATAACGATTCTTTAATTGCTAATTGCATAGTTAGTTAAAATCAGACATCTGCTAAAAAAAGCAAGAGATCAGTGAACTCTTGTGATTCAAGATTTGGCTCATTTAAAAAAAGGGATCCAGAAACATTAAAAAGACAAATAGAATTCAGAAAAAAGGAATTAGAGAAATTAGATTAATCCATTGAATAAATTACTATAAAGAGGGATGAAATAAAGATTTTAACATAAAAGTACTAATACTTCTTATAAGATTGTAAAATAATTATTAATTTATAGCACTTTAATTATAAGACAACTCGCTTTTTGGTCACAGTATTTGTAGAGATTAG